CCCCAATTCTGTTTTTCTTTAATGTCTATCATATGGATAATCATTGTTGCTCATTTTCTAAAAAATGACGTCACATTGGCCAAACTAGGTGGTCATGTCTCCTTATCCTGTACTCATTTTTCACTTATAAAAGAAGAAAACACAACAGCCAAGAGGGACAAAGGAACCTCAAATTCCACCGTAACTAACTAAAATGGATTTAGTCTTGAATTGCCTAAATACCATTACACTCTTTTCTCTAATTGTTCTCTGTCTCTTTCTCTATCGTCGTTCCAAAGGTAGAGAGGCTCCAACAGTTTCAGGTGCATGGCCAATACTTGGTCACCTTAAATTGTTGAGTGCTTCACAAACACCCCACAGAACCTTAGGTGCTTTGGCTGACAAGTATGGACCCTTATTCACCATCAAACTCGGTGTCAAACCCGCTTTGGTGCTCAGCAATTGGGAAATGGCTAAAGAATGTTTCACCACAAACGACATTGCCGTTTCCTCTCGGCCAAAGCTTGTTGCTGTTGAACTCATGTCGTACAACCAAGCTTTCGTGGGGTTGGCACCGTACGGATCGTATTGGCGTGAATTGCGTAAAATTGTTACCTTTGAGTTTCTCTCAAACCGTCGAATTGAGCAACTGAGCCACGTGCGTGTCTCCGAGGTTCAAACTTCGATCAAAGAGCTATTTAACGTTTGGTGTAGTAAAAAGAATGAGTCTAACTATGTGCTGGTGGAGATGAAGCAATGGTTTGTGCATATAACTTTCAATATGGTTCTTCGAATGGTTGCTGGCAAGAGATATTTTGGTGCCATGGATGAGGCCAACGAAGAAAAAGCAAAGAGGTTTCTGGAAAATATAAGAGAGTTCATGCGTTTGATGGGTACTTTTACGGTGGCTGATGGTGCTCCTTTTCTGAGGTGGCTTGATTTGGGGGGCTATGAGAAGGCCATGAAAGAAACTGCCAAAAAATTTGACGAAGTGTTGAGTGAATGGTTGGAGGAGCACAAACAGAACAAGTCTCTGGGTAGAAAGGTTGAAAGCCATCGAGATTTCATCGATGCGATGCTTTCGGCACTTAATGGAATACAAATTGATGGGTTTGATGCTGACACCATTTGCAAAGCCACAACTTTGGTATGTATAATAGTGTGGAATTAGTATTGCATCTAATTACTTAGTAAGATTGAACTTTCATCACATTCAACCTCGTTCATAACATTGATTATGTGCATTATAGTGTGACATTAGTATTAGTTTTAATGCTTGGTAAAATTGAATTTTTCTGCATTTAAACTCGTCCTCAATTGGATTCATCAAGTGCCCAAAATTGTTCTTTTATATTTGAACTATATAAAGAAGAAAGTAGAAATTTTATGAGTGCTATTGAAAGCAGTTCTAATAATTATAGAATTGAGAAACATTAATTGCTTTCTTTCATATATTTTTTATTTAATTAAATTAAATTAAATTAAAAGCATATTTTGAGAAAATGGGACAAATACGAAACACTAAATATCCAAGATATATATATTGTTTTCTTGAATAATTGAATGAATATTGTTATTGATCTTGAACTTGTTTTTCAGGAAATAATTTTGGGAGGAACTGACTCAACCTTTACCACCCTTACATGGGCATTGAGTTTATTATTGAGAAATCCTCTTGTATTGAAAAAGGCTAAAGAAGAGATTGACACACAAATTGGAAAAGACAGATGCCTAAGTGAGTCAGATATAAATAAACTTGTGTATCTTCAAGCTATAGTTAAAGAGACACTAAGATTGTATCCACCAGCTCCTCTCTCATCACCTCGTGTATTCACTGAGAATTGCACCTTGGGTGGTTACCATGTCAAAAAGGGAACTCGACTAATCCCAAACCTGTGGAAGATTCATAGAGACCCAAGTGTTTGGTCAGATCCATTGGAGTTCAAACCAGAAAGGTTCCTTACCACTCACAAAAATGTTGATGCCAGGGGTCATCATTTTGAGTTGTTACCATTTGGAAGTGGGAGACGAATCTGTGCTGGAATGTCCCTTGGCATGAATATGGTTCATTTCACTTTGGCTAATTTATTGCATTCCTTTGAAATACTGAATCCCTCGAGTGAACCTGTTGACATGACTGAAATATTTGAATTCACCAACACAAAAGTTACTCCGCTTGAGGTTTTGATTAAACCACGTTTATCTTCCAACTATTATGAAACATTGTAATGCTTATGTTAGTGATGTGATCCGTTTGTGATCTATTTCGAGTTAAATTGTGTTTCGTCTTCAAAAAATGTTATGTAATCATGATATAGTTTTGGTCCTAGTAATAAGGTGCATCACCAATTTTATTTAGTTGTCATGAAAGCTTGCGATACGATTTCGAATTTATTTGTATTCATGTTTAATTGATTTGTAATTTAGCAGGAAAAAAATATAATAAAGAATGGAGGATACATGTAAGCAGAGGAATTATTTGTTAACCAATCTTTTGCATTTCTTTTTAATCTTCAGAAGCACTCACATGAAAAAAAATTCATAATTTTAACGTAGTTCTTGACACTTTTTGTCTATATTTAATATAATTTTATAATTTTATTAGATAAAATTATAAGTTATTTTACCTATAATTTTTTGGGGAAAATTTTTTGCAAATCCTAAATACACCTAAAGACAATCATCACACACAAAAGAAGGATCAGTAGAAAATAAATTACAGAGAAGAGAACTGTGCACAGAAGAAAATCAACTTGCAAACTTTACTCAATACAATTTAATAATAAAGCTTTTTAATTATAATATATTTTTATATCTTCTTTCTTTAAATTTGTCGATATGATGCTTAAATAAATAGTCCATTTTAACATGGATACTTAATGTTTCAGATAAATTTTATCAAAAAGAAAAGCTGAGGTAAATGAACGTTGTCCTTATTGTAAACAAACCAACACCACCATCATTCTCATCTGTTTTCAAACAAAGATATTTCATTGTTTCATCCTAACAATAAATTCAGACTAGAGGTAAGAAGAAGACGACGACGATAATAATAATTTAATACATGAATATAATTCATTATTAATAATAGTAGGATAAATAATCCTTAATTTATATCTTTATTTTAAGAATTATGGTCGTTAATTGCCTGTAATACACCCTACTTCGCAATCTTTCATATTTTGCAACTGGAGTAAATTTTAAGATTGTTTGGATTGAAAAATATTTTCAGTATAATTAAGAATTATAAGGAAGGAAATGTATGTAAATAAAATGTTTCAAATACTCCTAATAATTTATTCATTAAATATAAAAAAATAAAGTTAAAATGTAATTTAATTAATAGTCTTGGAACTTCTGCAAGTTTCATTCTCTCTTCAATTTGTAGAGAAACAAAAAATGTGAATACTATTTTTGTTTAATTTTTTTCTTATTTTCTTACACAATCAAATGAGTAGACAAAGTTATGTTTAGATTAATAAAAATTAAAAAAATACTATTCTAAGTTAATTAAATTGCATCAGTCTTTGAAAATGTTAATCATGTGATTGTTGTAATTTTGTAAGTTTCAAATATACACAGTTTATAACAATTGTTTGGTCAAAGTAAACACTCCCATTCAGATGTCATGAAATCATGCATGTGACCACACCATGAATTTATGTGTTGAAAGAGAAAAATATTTTAATTTATTTTTTGCATAAAAATTTAAAATAATATTAAATATTATTTTTATTAGTAATTTTTTTCATATAAAATATGAAATATATTAAATTTAAATTTTGAGTTAATTTTAATCAATTAATAATAATAATAATAAAATTTGATAAAAAATTTATTAATATACTTTTATATTTTAATAGTTAATATTGTTTTCTAATAATTTATTATTTTTAAATTTATAATCTTAATCCTAAAGGTTGACACTTGACAATAATAAAATTGATAAAGTGTTTGTATTATTTGAGTAGTCTAATTAAGACTAAAAAACATTTCTTAATAAAGAACAATGATTAAGTTTAATATATGATCTATATAATTTCTTCTTTTTTCCTGTATAATAGAGCCATTTTAATCAAAATTGAAGATGGATTTATAAAAGTATAACTCATCTTTAAATGTCATGAAAACTTCTGATGAAAATAAATATTTTGGTTAAGAAATTAAATTATACACCAATGTAAAATAGGAGCAAAAAAGTAAAAATATAACTTGTACGTAATATATAATAAAAAGAAATAAAACTAAAGACGTATTAGTCTGTACTTATTTATTCTTAAAAAAAGTATTCATATAATAATATATATGATTACCAATCTACATTCACTTTTTTTTTTATCGAATAGCATGTTAAAAATATATAATTTACTACAATATTCTATGTAGAAATTATATTGATATATGTAAGCATATCCATGTAAATATTATAATTTAATAATTTAATTAATGAAAATTATATTTTATGTTCAGTTTTTGACGATGTAAAATGGATATATGCTGTACCTGTATATATATGAAAATGCTAATACCTTTAGAATATTAATTAACAATGTCATAATATCCCAGCAACACCAAAATACTAAGCATTTAAATTGTTGCAATATAAGAAAATAATGAGATAAAAAATTTATTGTTAAAATATTTTGCATTGGTAAGTAGGTTACAATACTTCATTGGGCAAGCAAAAGTAAGCAGCGATGTTTGAAAAAGAAAAGAAATCAAATTGAATTCAACCACTTCATACGCTGCCCTGTTTTTGTCTCAAGTATGCAGCACCATCTAATCCTTGCCCATCAAGTTTAATATTGTTATGCTTTGTACCACAATTATGCTTTTTGCTTTTTTTAATGTTTATTATAGGATAATCATTGTTGCTCAATGATTTAGTCTAAAAATTGACGTCACATTGGCCAAACTAGGTGGTCATGTCTCCTTATGCTGTACTCATTTTTCACTTATAAAAGAAGAAAATACAACAGTCTAGGGACAAAGCAACCTCTTTCTCCACCATAACTAATAAAATGGATCTGGTCTTGAATTGCCTAAATACCACTACCATTGCACTCTTTTCTCTAATTGTTCTCTGTCTCTTTCTCTATCGTCGTTCCAAAGGTAGAGAGGCTCCAACAGTTTCAGGTGCATGGCCAATACTTGGTCACCTTAAATTGTTGAGTGCTTCACAAACACCCCACAGAACCATAGGTGCTTTGGCTGACAAGTATGGACCCTTATTCACCATCAAACTCGGTGTCAAACCCGCTTTGGTACTCAGCAATTGGGAAATGGCTAAAGAATGTTTCACCACGAACGACATTGCCGTTTCCTCTCGCCCAAAGCTTGTTGCCGTTGAACTCATGTCATACAACCAAGCCTTCGTGGGGTTGGCACCGTACGGATCGTATTGGCGTGAATTGCGTAAAATTGTTACCTTTGAGTTTCTCTCAAACCGTCGAATTGAGCAACTGAGCCACGTGCGTGTCTCCGAGGTTCAAACTTCGATTAAAGAGCTCTTTAATGTTTGGCGTAGTAAAAAGAACGAGTCTAACTATGCCTTGGTGGAGATGAAGCAATGGTTTGCACACTTAACTTTCAATATGGTTATTCGAATGGTTGCTGGCAAGAGATATTTTGGTGCTATGGATGAGGCCAACGAAGAAAAAGCAAAGAGGTTTATGGAAAATATAAGAGAGTTCATGCGTTTGATGGGTACTTTTACGGTGGCTGATGGTGCTCCTTTTCTAAGGTGGCTTGATTTGGGGGGCTATGAGAAGGCCATGAAAGCAACTGCCAAAAAATTTGACAAAGTGTTGAGTGAGTGGTTGGAAGAGCACAAACAAAACAAGGCATTGGGTGGAAAGGCTGAAGGGGACCGAGACTTTATGGATGTTATGCTTTCGGCACTTAATGGAACACAAATTGATGGGTTTGATGCTGACACCATTTGCAAAGCCACTACTTTGGTATGTATATTAGTGTGAAATTCGTATTACTTCTAATTATTTTGTAAAATTGCACTTTTACTCCATTCAAACACGTTCATATTAAAACAATTATAAGTATTTTTTAGTTATTTTTTAATCACGATTGAAACTTTACTTTAATAAAATGTATTAATAATTTTTAATTTTTTACTTTTATTGTATAAATTATTGTGGTAAAATTTTATTTTTAAATTTGAATTAAAAATTATAAGAAACGCTTTACCTAAACTTTGTTCTAATCATATGGCCTTATATGAACTATAATTAGACGATTCTTCTAATAAAGCTTGAACTTTTTGCAGGAATTGTTTTTGGGAGGAACTGATACCACTGCTGTTACCCTTACGTGGGCACTATGTTTGTTATTGAGAAGTCCTCATGTATTGGAAAAAGTTAAAGAAGAAATTAACATGCATTTTGGAAAAGAGGGAAGCATAGGGGAATCAGATATAAATAAACTTGCGTATCTTCAAGCTGTGGTTAAAGAGACACTAAGATTGTATCCACCAGCTCCGCTATCATCACCTCGTGAATTCACTGAGAATTGTACTATTGGTGGTTACCATGTTAAAAAGGGAACTCGGTTGATTCCAAATTTGTGGAAGATTCATAGAGATCCTAGTGTTTGGTCAGATCCATTAGAGTTCAAACCAGATAGGTTTCTTACCACTCATAAACATGTTGATGTTAGGGGCCAAAATTTTGAGTTTCTACCATTTGGAAGTGGGAGAAGGATTTGTCCTGGAATGTCCCTTGGTCTACATATGGTCGATTTCACTCTAGCTAATTTCTTGCATTCCTTTGAAATCATGAATCCATCAAGTGAACCTATTGATATGACTGAGATCTTTGGATTCACCAACACCAAAGCTACTCCACTTGAGATTTTGGTTAAACCACATTTGCCTCTCAACTATTATGAAGGTTTATAATCTTTATGTAACCCTTTGTGGACTAGTTTAGTTAAATTGAGTCTGTCCTTCAATAACATTATGAAACCATAAGATACTTATGGTCTTATAGAGGTATAGCTGCTTTCATTTATAGTTATAATAAAACCATGTAATCATGCTATGAATTAATTTTCATCTGTGATTTAATGTATTGTTCTGTAGTTTAGTAGTAGAAATAAAAGGCTAGAGAGAACATAAGCATTCCTATGGGTTCTTTGGATGAGTCCTACACTAAAAATATGATTTCAGTGCATATGAAATGAATTTTTTTATCTTATAAATATCATACTTCAATTATGTATTTTCCTATTCCTATTTTCAAATAAATAGTTAACAGAGGATACCCCAGTTCGTTTACAAATATTTTCAAATAATGTAACCTATTCCTACTTCAATAATAAAATAAACAAGATGTAGGAATCAACCATCACACGTATTAAGATATTGACACATTTTCTACTTTTCCATAACTAGGATTGGGCCTTAATTAATTCCAAAACCTGCTCTAAATCAACAAGTTATATGAGCAGTAACATTTGAAAAAAGAAACCCTTCAAATATTAAAAAATATGAATGTGAATAATGGAACACGTCGAATGATCTTATAAAAGTATCATCTGGTGGAATTATACCAAATAAGAAAGCAAAACTATTATGAACAAAAGAAAATGGTTATAGAATATAAAAATAAATGTGTCATTAACATTGGATTTTAACCTTAAATTTGATTTCTTGTATTCTTCAATTTCCTTTATTATTAAAAATTGATGTATTTGTGTAGAGTAATTGCAGATTTATATGGTGGGTTAATTATACATGAGCACAAATTAATGTCTATGACCATAGAGAGATATGGCTGACAGTGTACTTGATTACAGATATTAATTTGATGAAATGTGAGATTGGAAAATTGTCAGTGGTTTAGATTTTAGCATTTGTGGGTCGTGTTTGATCATTTGATTTTTCATTTCATCCTAAAAGACCAGTTTTGGTATCACATTAAAGTTTAGAAAGGATACACGTCACCTCAACTTAGTGTGGCTAACAATAAAAGAAAAAATAAATAAATATAGGTGTGAAAAAATAAAGGAAAAAATGAGTCCAACACTACAAATTTATAACAGAAGAAAATATTTTTTTTTTTACTTTTATATTGTATTTAAAAATAATATATACTAAAATATGAGATTTTTATAAAAATTACATAAATATGAAAACTCAAAAATGGCTAATAATATAGCATAGATTCAAAGATGGAACAGCTAGAATTTATAAAGCACTAAAAATTGTTAATGATAATTTTTAAAAAAATAATATTACAACTTAAAAAATTACTGATAGTGACTTTTCAAAACATAAAAATATAAAAATCAAAGATGCAAGTAGTCAAAAAATAATAAAAATAAATTTACCAAATATCGTTAATAGTAGCTGTTCAGATGACAATTTTTAAACATTTTTAACATTCTTGAAATGATTTTTTTAATTTTTTTATTATTTATGTAACCATCCTCTTTACTTATCATATTTTTTTTTTCTAAACTACTTATCTTATTTTTTATTGACACGTAATTTTGCAAACTTCATATATGTTATTAGTATGTTACAATACCCTTTATATTATTCTTAAAGAGATCTTTTTTGCTGATAAAAAATATTTAATATAAAACATCACTCAATAAGCTTTTCAACACATTTATACCATGCAATAATAATTCAAATATTATAATGAACCTTTTTACACACATTAATTTAACGTTTGTTTCGGGTACTTAATAATTTTAAACTTTTTCTTTTAAATATAAATTTTAAAATAAAACTGTTTCAATTAAAATGAACTAGAATTTATTATTAAATCAATAAGTTTATTTTAATTTTTAATTATAAAATAATTCAATGAACTCTTTTCTCTCTTGAAATACACACAGTATCATTGTTATTATTACTATCAGATAATAATTATTATTATTGCAATTATCACTGCTTCTATTAATCAATGATTATAGTTATTACTAATAATACTTTCATAAGGCCTTTCCGATGTTATCTGAACAAGATGAGAAAATAGAACTATTCTTTATTTTACTAAGCAGCTGTTGAACGACAAATGACAAGTAACAACATTTTAATGAAACAAATCTAAAATATATCTTATCAATTCAAAAAATATATTTCTTTACACTACATTTATTATTTCATGTATTCTTTCTGACTCATTAGTAACGTAGTTTTTTAAATTCAAATATAAATTGTGTAATTATATTATCATTTTCGTACAAATTCTCTGAACTATTTGAGTTTGAGTCTAAGTCATCGTTATCTATATTTTAAATACATTAACTTTTTTTAATTTTCATCTATTTAATTTAAATTCGACTGAAGTTACGCATTTAAATGTGATAGATGAGTCTATTACATGAGATCTTTTGCATGCACAAAAACTTGAATCTAATACTTTAATTAAGCAATACTAAATCGTTTGTCATTCAAATCAACCTTCATTTTTACACACTAAATTTTTTAATAATAAGTCTTATCATTGTTATCATAATTATTATTAACAATATTATTATTATTATTATAATTACTATTATTATTGTTTTCATCTTTATTTTGAAAATGTCATTCTCTTTGATATTATTATCATTATTAACTTATTATGACAATCATCATGCTTGTTCTACGATTGTTGTTATAGTTACAAGTCTATCATTGTTACTTTCATTTTTGTTATCTCATCTTGTTGTTAATTTACTATAATACTGACAAAAAAATATATTTGTAGTTTAAATTTTATTATCATATATTAAATTTGAAAATTAAAAGCTAAGAAATAAAAAAATATTAATTTTAACTTTAAAAAAATCAAAACTTAAAACTATACTGGCTTTAAATAATTATTTAATTTTATTAAGAATTGGCCTAATTTATTAATTTTTTGAATACCTACTGCATTGTCTCAAATAAATTTAAAAGTCTAATTTTTGTGAATAATAATTTTTATCCAGAGCTAGCTACTATTGGATTTATAAAAGTTTGTTTATTTTAAAGTTAGGTAAAATTAATTTTGAAAATTGATATTGATGAAATTAGTTAAAAATTAATTTATATTTGAAAATATATTTATTCATAGAAAAAATGGTATAATTATTTTAAAATTTGTTTACGTATCTCAGAAAATAAACTTAAGCTTATGACATTTTTATATTTGATAGAAATTTCGAGAAAAAAAAACCACCGAACATTATTAATTCTTACGAGTAAATATTGAAAACATGTTTTTTTTTTCCCACTCTTGTAACAAGTGATATATAGTTATGTCACTTGTTTGTAATAACGAGTTATTGACTTATTTAAAAAAAAAAAAAATCAAATTTCATTATATTCCTTTACTTCTTTTTTGAAGCACTAAATAAATTAAAAATATTTATAAAAATGTGAAACACAAATCAAATATATTATTAAATTAACCTAAAAAAAAGTAGGTTTGATTTTATTTTTAACTTTCATATTTTAATTTGTGTGATCTTAATTAATTTAATTTCATTTATTTATATTTAATTTTATATTTTTGAGTTAGTTACAATTATAAATTATAAGTAAAATTTATTTTTTTATCTAATTTAATTCGAATCTGATATGAGTCACTCACTTTAATATGATGGATAAGTTTATCATTAAAAAAAATTTTATACAAAATGACTCAAACTCTAATAGTAAAATTAATTTTAAATATTTTAAAATTCTATGTAAGCTAAAATTTGAGGAAAAAAAAAAGCTAAAATAATAAAGTTTAATAATTTAAAAAAATTGAAAAAGATATAATTATAAACGTTAACAAATCGTGGAACTTTAAACGTTGAGTTATGATTTACGGTGTGGGGCCAGAATGGCTGAATAAAAATCTGGGAGGTGGGGGCCACAGGGAATAATATAGTCACATGGGTGTACGAAGCATAGGAAGCAACCACCAATAGCTGCGCTCCACATACTTGGGAACGTCCTAATATCTACGTGACCTCACAGCTCACCATCGGATCTCACATCGACACGTGGCATTTCCACGATGGCATTGTCGGTTGAAAGTCGTTGAAGCATCCGTTTATGAAGACAACATACCTCGTTTCGTTCCTCACAACGTAACCGTCCCTCGTTGAGTTGTCCCTCCCTTTCGCCGAGGAACCACTCCTTCACTTGTTTGTTTTTTCTCTCTTTTTGTATTAATATAATGTTTTCATTCCCATTCTGAATTCACTTTCATCATTTTCATTAAATAATAATCACACTCTTCTTTAAAATATATATACATTCTCTTTTGTAGTGGTTGAATTAGCATTCTGAAGTCGTGGTTAGTGTGTTTCACCTTCCGCGGCGGAAGATGGAGGAGATGAAAATTTCTCGGCGAGTGGAGTGGTGGCACAACATGATGTACCCACTTCGAAGAGTTTGGATCGGCATCGCTACCCGCCTCGGAATTCGCAAAACTGGTAAACTCCTCTATTTAAAATTCTTTTTTAAACTTCCAATCAGTTTATGGTCACTGAAGTGGTTTTAATTACTTGTTATGGTTCATTGTTTGATGAATTTTATTTAAGGAGTGTTGAGTTTTGTAATGGTTATAGATGTTGATGCAACTTGCAAGAGCCAGAGAATGTATCTGTTAAGTGATAATTTTGGTGAGGTTTTCATAATCTGAAGATTTGATTGAGCAGTTTTTATGTTTGGGGAATTTGGGTTGGAGTGAAATTTACAAGTGAATGTTGTTGTGTTATTGATTCCCTGTATGTTAAAACTACAATATTTGGATTTATGTTTGAACATGTATGAATTTGCATTTGTTATAACTTATATCTCAAATTGTAAAACAAACTATTGGGAAATTTGCAGGGCTACTGAAGTTACGGCACGATGTGAGGGCTTGTGAATATGAGGATATTCGAGTGATGTGGGAGATGCTGAATAGAAATGAATCAGATTTTGGTCATTCTTCTGGGAAAAGCAAGAAGCGGCAATGCTGGAAATTGCTGAGGTGGGCAAGGTGTGCTCCTTATATTTGCCGCTCCTGAAGAATTTCTCTTCACAAAAAGACCCACCTATTGTGTTGGCGTGGTTTTTGCTTCAATCATGAATAAAGGGTAAAGAGGGGTTCATGTTAGGAACATGGTTCTCTTCTTCTCTTAATCAACTTAACCATATGTAGATATCAACCACATCCTTAGTATGGTAAAATTATGTGTAGTTTGTGTCGTGCTTCATCATCATCTTCGTATGTTCAACCAGACGTTCATGTGTTGTTTTTAGAGATCCATGAATCGTGTTGAGGGCTCTTACAGCTTGGTTTTGTATCAGCAACTATCTGCATTTTGCAGAAGGTATATATATATATTTGTGTAACTATTATAAATACCCGCAATGCTTTCACTTGTTCATGATTAACCCTTCCTTTTTGTTTCGTGTCTCGTGGAGAGAAATCCTAACAGGATATTCTTTAACCATTTTTAGACGTAGTGATTGACTAAACGTGTTGAGTTGCATTTCGAAAAGGCATTGAAAATTGAAATACTTCAAATAATCTGAAAATGTATAACGAAGTTGGACTTCATATGGAGATCCATTACGCGCAATTGTTACACGATTTGGATTAAACTTTCTTTTCATGTGATTTAATTTAAGTGATTTTAGTGTCGGCAAAGCTGGCTCTTGCTGTCAAACGTGGGATTGCAATGTTTTTAGTTTGATAAAATAAAGATGTGACATTTTTTAACTTTTGACCGATTTAAAAAACATTGTGTGGAAAGAATAATGGTAGATGTCGTCTTATAATTTTTCTTGAGGAGTGGCAGTGATTAACGTGGATAGTAAAGTGACCAATTCATACTTTTATGTCACTTCGTGCTTAGAGAGATGCGAAGTGGAAGAAAAGAAGCGCCAATAACTGGTTTATTGGAGTGTGAATAAAGATCTCGTTTTTGAAGATTCACTGGTGAGTGTGAGGGAAAGCTTCGATAAAGGTGATTGACTATGACAGCAAACCCAATATCTAACCATTAATATATGTCATCTTTTTTTTTATCAGAACAGTAAACTTCAATAATAGTGATTAAAAATACTTTTTTTTCCCCAACCGAGCAAGATCTTTCTTCTTGTTTAATATAATTTAATTTAGTGAAACTCATACTTAAGATTACATGTTAAATTGAAATAACTCTAAATTTTAGTTTTCCTCCTTCCAACTTTAATTTTCCTCTACATTATTTCTAGTTTAAATTTGAATTTAAATTTTACCAAAATTAAAATTTCATATTTAAATTTAAGTTAAAGGAATAAATTCAAATTTAAACTTGAATTAACGTAGGAGGAAACTAAAATTCAAGTTTCAATTTCAAATTTTATTCTATTGGAAGAAAATCTAAAATTTAATTTTTAAATGTATCATTTGCAATAATGTGTAGAGCAAACAGAAGAAGAAAAAAACACATCAAAACATGATATATGCCTTATGGCTTATGTAAGAAAAGACCACACATAGTGGAATGTAACACATCTATTGTGTGTTGTGTCCTTACAATACAAGTCACATGCTAAAGTGTAACATGTATCACTTTATGATATGTAGTATTTGTTTTTTCACTCAACACTTTTCAAACATTGTTAAATTTACTTATTTTAATAATTAGTTTATAAATAATTTTATTTAATTAAATAGTTTTTAAAATTATATTATGATGATAAAAATGCCACAATTTACTTTAACAAATTAGATTCTATTTTTTCTTTAAAAAATCTCATGAAGATCGGGGAATCAATTCATGATCTATCTTATTTTGAAGTTGGATAATTTAGTGAAACTCATGAGAAATGTACAAGACTATTTGTTAGACTACCAATAGTTTTATGGCTTATGGCTGTATCAAGCTTAAATGAAACAAGCTTAAAAAAAAGTTTTAATTTAATGTTAGATAGGTTCAAATGAGCCTGAGTAGACGCACCTATTTTTCTAACTCTACTTGCAGTGAATGAATATTTTTAAGTTAAAATATTTTAAAATAAATTAATAAAAATATATTTGTGATTATTTTTATGTTGAATAAAATTCATAAATTTTTAAAAAATAAATATTGTAATTATTTATAATAATATTTTATTTTTTGAAAAATACATAAAAAAATAAATTTTAAAATTTAAATTATATTAAATAAAAAATAATGCAAAAAAAATCACTTAACATGATAAAATAGAAAAGTAACTCTTAAAAGTTTATTTTAAATTATTAAAAATATTCTTGTTTAAGAATGTGTACCCACAATTTATAACTAAGATGGTTTGTTTTTATATTCAATTTAAAATAAGATTAAGATATAAAATATAAAAATTAATACATTTTATTTATTTTAAAGAGAATCTCACTATTTTTTTTCTAACATATAGTTATGAGTAAATATACACATTCATCCTTCAATATGACACTTTGTTTATTTTTATCCCTAACGGCTCGTTTGGTATATAAAATTAGAATTGATATTTGAAATTGTAATTCTAATGTTAATTTCATCTTAATTAAAATTAGTTTAAAATTACAATTTTACATTTGATGTACTTAAAAAATTAGAATACAAAATTAGAATTCTAAGTTAAAATTAAATTTTATATTGTAATGTAAGGTTTAAATTTTTAAAAAATAATTCAATTTTGTATTAAAATTTTATTTGAATATTTTTTCAAAAATAATGTGTTAATTAAAAATATAAAATATTTATTAAATAAATTGTTAAAGATGATAACTTAATATTTTTTTTAAAAAATCATCATGACATAATAAATTTATTTTTTATGTTTAATTTATCATTAAAATTTAATATTATGTTATGAACTATCTTTCTTATAAATTAGATGAAAGCATATGAATGCTTATAAATATAATTTATTTTTAAAATTAAAAATATAATTTGAATATAAGTACTTCTAAAAACTCTTATTTTGAGACCATAAGCAAAGTAGAAATATTGCAATAAATTTTTCTACACTTACATGATAATATTATGTACAAAATGTTACAAAGCTCGAAAAAAGCTTATTTAATAAGACGTAATTAATTATAATAATTTTCATAAGTTACATGATATAATCACCACAAAAATATACTTTTTACTACGTCTTTATCACACTATTGCATCCCTAGCACTAGTTTTCTTTCAATAGTTTTTGAATTCATTTTCTAATATTTTCTGTAGCGTCTAACAATTCAAAAAAAGTATGAAATAATTTATTATATAATTAACATAAAAAAAAAGTATGCAGCAAGTGTAAAAATTGAAGAATAACAATACATTATATTTTACAGTAAATGCATAATAGCGATACGACACATTAATGTAAATATATTAAATATGTAACAAATGTAAAAAAAGGAGAAGAAAATTAGGAAAACATATAAAAAGTAACTCTTAAAAGTTTATTTTAAATTATTAAAAATATTCTTGTTTAAGAATGTGTACCCACAATTTATATACAGAGATAATTTATTTTTGTATTCAATTTAAAATAATGTTAAGATATAAAATATAAAACTTAATACATTTTATTTATTTTAAAGAGAACATAAAAAATGATATTAATAATTAATGTAAAAGTAAAGTTAAAAGGAGAAGATAATTAGGAGAACGTAAGAAGAAAAAGAAAGATGTATAGGAAAAAAAAAACAATGAGAGAGAGAGAAAGAAAATATTTGGAGAAGAACAAGAATTACAAAGATGAGAAATACGAATACCAAGAAACACGATACATGAGAGTGTATTTATGAAGTATGATATTAAGAATTCAAATTCCTAAGATGCGGGTCACGAATTGAGGTGAGCCAAATTTACTTCTCATGAATTATAATCACAATTCCAAATAATCATTTAAATATAATAATCAAAATTCTGAAGCTCAATTCTAATTTCACCATCCAATTTTATATTTAATTTCATACACCAAATCGGCACTAAAATTTTGATTTGTTGAATTTAGTTCTAGAATATGTTAACTTATTCAAGTTTTGGTCATTTAAGGAATTAATTGGCCCCTAAAATTATCAAAATATTAAATTTGAGTAAAAAATATATTAATCTTGTTTGTATTTTATTCCCATTTTACTAATATATTTGTCACAAAAGAATAAAAATATGAATAAAAATAAACATATTCATAGACTAAATTGTATAAATTGAAATTTTTAAGAATTAAAAAAAAACACCAATTTTAAAGATGAAATTGAATATTTGATGAATAGATATCATTTTCCCACTTTTTCGAGAAGGTTAATATAATTGGTGAGATGGCCTCTTTAACACGTTGAATCATTTCTTCATGTGCACTTGTTTGAGTTGTTGACATCCTTATTCAAACATGTCCCGTTATATCTTCATGCGCACATGGTTTAGTTGTTGCGCACCCATATTTATCAAACACGATCATCCTTCATCAATCTTAACATAGAACAAAAGAAAGAACATTGAATGCTTTTTTATTAACGCACTCCATTATCTCTTTTTGGCTTAGCTACAAGGGTTTGGTTACGTTTAATTAACCTTAATCACAAGCTGTTTGCCTTAAAAAAAACCCTTAATCACAAGCCATTCCTATAGCAACCTGTGGATCAGAGAAAGAGCCATTCAAAATGCGCGTGGCAAGCCATCGATTTGCTGCTTCAGAGTAGTGAACCCCGTCCCAGCTAATGTACTTTGATGGGTGTTTACATTTATAGTACTCTTCTTTTCCATTTTTAGTTTTCTTTTTTCCACAATCAACATGGATAACACTGGTTGTGCCACAGCAGAATTTCTTTGGATTAACAAAACCTGCCACATACAACCACATAATTCAAATTAATTAATAAGCTAATCATGTTTGCTCTTTGCTTTTAGTTTACACTATTTACTACAAAACTTTATAGATTCATTATTACAACATTAGTAAACATTTTTATCTATGTTGTTTATGTCTTTAGTCCCTTTTTAAATGTATGGTTAAAAATGAATATAATTTAAATTAACAACCAATAAATAACATATTTAAGTCAAATAAAAATTGTAAGCAACAAGTTTATCTTTAACATGAATCATTTATGTAATTTAAAACTAAAATCACCTTGATTCCTTGCATTTTTTGTTAGTTCGTACTTAGCTGAGTAGACATCAACATAGGTAAACTTTGCAGTAGGTAACTTTTTCCTTAGTTCAAACACTATGTCCTTAAGCTGCATGTTAAATGCCTGAGCAATTTCATTTTCGGTTTTTCTACATCCAAGTCTTCAGGATTCTGCTTGTTCTGTTGGTTTGGTCGTGGCAAACACCCAATTGGGCCAGTATTATGTATCCAAAAGATTCTAGCCCCTTCAGTGTATAGTTGCTGAACCAAACCCCAAGACAAATTAAGTGTTAGATCAAAATGTGTATCAAGGTAGAAGCAAAAAAAATGGAAGGAATTTTTAAATGAATACAGCTTAGGTTTAGTTTCTTAAGTACTTTTTGTGGTATTTTTTAATTAAAATTTCACTTTGATAACTCACTTCAACTTTAAATGCTGACTTTTATGACGTGAGTTACTTGGATAAAATTATAAGAAAAAAAAAAAAAACATAAGGCACTGCCCTATGTTCTATTTTTATTAAATATGACTAATGTTAGATATAGAATCTTCGTTCTACTTCCCCATTTTCATTGCTTGAAACTTTGAATTTTCTTTGTTCTCAATCACACTCCCAAAGAATCAAATTTAAAAAAATGTGAGGAAATTAAGAAAGAATTGGCTGTTTACTTGCACTCCTTGAGAGAATTGGCTCAATATGTCAGGAATGGAAGCTCTGAGTGATTGTTGATCTGAGGTCATGAAACCAAAGCTTAGATCGTTCTGACCAATATCTATGATGAATAGGGCCTTCGATAATTCCATGGACTTCAGTAGCCTGCTTTTCAAAGGTGCATCTGCTACAGGAGTACCATATGTATAATATACATTATATTCTTGTTTTCCAAAACTTACAGGCATTTCTAAAAAGTGAAAATTACACTCATTTTCTCAAGTTTTAAAAAATTTTACTTGATATCTTTTGCTTCTGAACTTACACAAACCTCTTTTAATTTATATGTAACAATGTGTATCTTTTCTGTTAATACAATTTTTTTATGCAATTATATAGATAAAAAAAGGCATATATATATATATATATATGAGACAGTAGAGGGCAAGGGGTTTTATCTTAAATATTACAATCATGAGGCTCTAGTTAACTTCAAGAAATATATGACTACATATTCCAAATCACAATAAATAATTCATCAAATGCTTGAGAAATTAGATAACAAATGAACTTAGAACATGAACAGAGTATAACTAACTGCTGTAAAAGCTTTGATTGTAGAGAAACATTGTCCTAGACTTGAACTGCATGAATTGAGATATTTGAAGCCCAAAGAAGATTGGAGTAAAGTTGCTCTGTCGTATGGATGAACCACCCGCAGCGAAGTTTGCCCCACAATTGTAACTTGATCCCAGTGAATCCAAATAGGCACTCAAATATGGCAGCTTCAATTCTTCAGCTAAATAGGTACCCATTGAAATAATCATCAAAGCGACACTTAAATGGAGAACGAAACAAACCTTCGTCATGCAAGTTTGCTATATTATGTGGTAGATCAACCAAAAGTTGTGAAAGGAAAAACTTATGCAATTCCTAATGTACTTTTGGTATTATTTTTCGGGAAACAATAGAGTTTTACTAAGTAATCTGTACAAAAAAATTTAACATTTAAGATTGTCACAAGTTAACTAGATAAAATTTTAACCTTGATTGAAAAACAACATTAAAAATATCTAAAAAACTATATCTAAATTTTGTCCATTATAAATATGTGATGATGGTGTGTGGAATTTGTTTTGCTCTTACTAATGTAATCTATGATAAGACGGCCATCACAATTCCTTGTAGGGAAATTTCCAGGAAAGCTTCCTCCATTGGGAGGATAAACCATTGTAAATGCTGCGGAAAAAGTTCCTGTGTCTGAATTTGAGTCACCAAAGTTGTAAATTGCTGAGTAGTTACATTTTGATTTATGCAGAACGTTTTCCCCCTTCACTTCCGTGAATAAACCTACCAAACCTAAAACATAAACAACCAAGTAACTCATGACTTATAAAATATGTGATGAATTCTTTGAACAAATATATTATTAAATTTTTGCATGGTGAAATTTTTGAAAATTAGAAAAAGTTAAACACGATTAAAGAGATGAAACTGTCTTTAGTCCATAATTTGTCTGGGTTTCATGCTTATGACATTATGTGTTTATGGGCTCTAATGGCAGGAAACGGATGTGAGTGGCCAAGGAACGTTTCATAATAGCTCATTAAGGACTAAAGTCTCTTAATATTTAATAACCGAAACGGCAATGTATAATAACTACTTTTGGGAGATTATTTCTGATGTTTAATATGGGAATAGTTCTAAATCTTCCGTCATTTTATTCTAATAAATCCTCCTAATTATTAAATTAAAAATATTTATATTTTTAATAATAAATAAAAAAATTTCTTTAATATTTATTTACTAGTAAAAAAATTATTAAAAAAATTATTAGAAAAATATAACAAAACTCTTAATATAAATATTTCTTTCGTTTAAAATGTTAGTTTCATTAAAAATGGTTGTTTTTTGCCGTATGTCTTTTTTTTCTTTAGATATGCTATTTCTCCTTTCTCTTCCATTTTTTTTTCTTCTTCTTCTTTTTCTCGTCTTCCTCTTCATCCCTTCCTTGTGTGAGATTTTTGAAAGAAAAAAACAAAGACAATAGTGATGATGCTAGAAAAAATAACAGTGGTGTTGATAGAACCTAAATAGAGTCAGGTGGGTACATGTTTTTGAATATGCGACATCTCCATGGCTAAAGTAAGGAAGTTTTGACGGTGGCAACTAAAGAAAGTAACAAAAAAGGAAGACGTTATAAAAAAAATGATAAAAAATAATTTTTTAACAGAGTTAACATTTAAAAAAACTTATTTAAAGTGTTTTTAAAATTTTTGAATTAAAATAAAATTAAAAGAAAAAAATCAAAACTTATGTTAAAGTTAAAAGTCGAGTACACTAATTTTTATGGTAGAAGAGAAAACACTAATTTATCCTGTATGTGTATATACTGATGAGTGAGGCTAAGCTCATAGCTTTCCTATGGTGATTATTATGGAAGGGAAGCTCATCTTTGCTGATCTAGTTCTCTATGTGCTTGATAGAGTGAAAATAAAAAGTTAAAGATGCATATGAAAAATAGGAATATGTGAAATACGATATTTTGTCAAAAATATACTGTCAGTTATTTTTAATTTTTACTTTCTCTTTTACTTGCAAACACACACACACATCATACTACTGTTATTCAACATTAGGTCAAGTAGTTCAACAAACTTCACACCAAAAGGAAAGGGGAAATAGCACTTGAAAAGCAAGGAATTAAAAGACTCAATTTTCACTAACTATCTGAATCACTCCTCTTATGATAATATTTACACAATAGAGCATATAATAGGAAGCTCACTATACTTAACCAAGCTAGAAGCCAATAGTAATTGTCCAAGCGTGCTTCAACCATATCATCACAGAACCAACTTGGTATTCCCTTTGAACTTGTGTATACTTCAACCAGTGTAATTAACAATGCACTCACAAAGCTTCCAACCCCAAAAACACTGGTATACAATGCAATTCCCATTGTTCTCATTGTCTTGGGAACTTCACCATAAAAGAACTCTTGCATACCAACAACCGTGAAAATGTCTGAAATGCCAAGAAGAATGTACTGAGGTAACAACCAGAAAATGCTTATAGGCACTGTTTCTGAATGTGATCCTGCACTTCTCATTTGCCTACCAATTTCAAGCCTTCTCATTTCAACTAGAGCTGCAATAACCATGGCTATGATTGAGAGAACCATTCCAATTCCCATCCTTTGCATTACATTTATACCCTTGTCCTGACGAGTGATTACCTGTGCAATTGGTATAAATATTTTGTCATACAATGGCATCAATAGTATTATGGACAATGTTATAGCACTTTGGAGTGTGGCTGGCGGAATCTTGAAATCTGCACCGATGTTTCTTTTCATTGTCATGCCTTGTTTTGTGAAAAATGTGGCAGGTTGTTGGAAGATCACTGCAAACATGAGAAGCATTGTCCATATTGGCAAAATCCTTAGCACAACCTTAACATTTGCTAGCAGATAGATGCCACTTTTAGGATCCTTATTCAAATCCTTGAGGTTTTCCAAGTTTTCAGAACAAAGGGGTGTCTCTTGAAGCCTGTCACAAGGAAAACAAATACTCAGGTGTAAGAGCAAGTACTTTTCATTAGAAATAATAGTAAAGGGAATCCATTGACGAGGCAAGCGGTTTGACTTTTTAAAAATAGACTAATCATAAAGAGTGTGTTCAAGAATGAATCAAAAGAGTGTATTGCTAGCATTTCTCGCAGTAAAGGAAGCTCTCTGTACATGAAAGTGGAACTTACTCTAGCTCAACCACTTCAGGCTTGTCATTTGGTAGGGAAATCTCACAATGGAAGCATCTCAAAGCAGATGCTTTTATAGCTTGAAATATGTTCATGAGGGGCTTCTTTTCTTGATAGACATCGTGTTGTTTATATGAATATATGGGGCTTCCACACGAGAAAATTAAAATAGACAAAACCATTGAAATAGCTGGGATAGCAAAACCTATTACCCAGCCAAAGGTATCTTGGATGTAGGACATGACTGTAACACCTAATAGGCTTCCACTGCAAACACCAAAATACCACCACTGGAAGAATAGAGTTTTTTTGTTAGAACTTTTATCATCTTTGCTACAAGGCAATTCTTCTTCCTCACCAAGTTGATCTGCTCCAAAGGCTTGCAGAGATGGGTTATATCCACCTTGGCCTAACGAAATTAAATAGAGAGACAAAGAGAGAAATGAAGAAGACATTGTTCTGTTTCTATGATGCCATGACCTTGCTAGTGCTGTTGTTGTCAATGCTGTAAGTCCCTTAGAAAAGAACACAGACGAAAAATACTGTTAACTAGTGAATAAAATGTTGAAAATTCAAATTGACTTGCAAAATTTCCCACAAAGTGTTACCTACTGCATTGTGCATGTACATAACAAGACCTCATACCAAAAATTTTAAAATCTGTTCACAGATTCACTGTGATTTTGTTTTACATATGCTTTTTGGTGAATAAATTACCTTGTAGATATGAATTTATCAGATATGTGAACACCAGAATCATGGTGCTATGACTTTATATTTGGTAAATAACTTTTGGTCATTTCACTGAACCATTTTTTAAATAATTATATTCTTTTTAGCACGCGGTGCTTTAGTGCTTAATTTAATAACTCAGAAAGGAGAAGTGGAATGCCTTTCCTCAAAAGTTAAAGTAAGACATGAATTTTCATAATCATAGAAGCATCATTGTCTTCTGTTTGTTGAATCCTGTAGATGTGGTGAGTGGTGACAACTTCACATGAACATGAAACTCAGTATCATTGATTGCTATTCCAAAGAAAGGATAAGAAAAAACATCTAAAATATGGAAAACCAATAAAACACAGGACATAAACAATGATTACTATCTAATTAAGAACGCCAGAAGATTTTGTATGTCTATCAATTTTTCAGTTACTAATGCGAAGGTAACATGAATATTGAGCACCCAAGTAACAAGGTTTTGCATTGTATCAAATTTTGAGTTACAATTGGGAAGGTAGGTAACATGGATATTATTATCTACCACTTGTGGAAAGAGTGGAATTGTAGCCTTAAACATCAAATTCAGTGCCGAAGTTGCTTGTGAAGTCTATAAAGGATTATCCAAGATAAGGAATTTGTTCCTAAGCTGTGCTTGGAAAATATTTCACTAGACATTTTCAGTGTTTGATGGTTAGTTTTTAGTATGGTGTCAATTTTGGTCTGCTGTTGTCGAACAAAACTGGAAGAGAAGAATCTTGGCCACTATATATGATACAATCCTTGCTTAAAATTTTGAATAAAAATAGTGGAAATTCAACGTTAAGATAAAAGATTTTTCCTGAGTATTTCACATGTTCAAGAATATACAAAAGTATCACATGTTCTACCTTGCCAATGAAAACTCTTTCTATCAGTTTTCTTTTTAATAAAAATTTGGATAGATATTCTGGTGGAATGTAGAATCTGACTTGGAAAGGTAGCAAAACGTGTGGCACTGTGGTTGACACTATGCTAAATATTCACTAATTAAGAAGGGAAATCCTGAATCTTCCAAAATATCAATTACTCCATTTCTTTTGGCTACCGGAACTCTCCAATGGGTCCACCGTACTGTAGAAGATATTAGTCTCACATATTCTTAAATAAGAAGAGAGGTTATGACTCGGACTCCAACAAACTTAATGGATATCCTAATAATATGTTAAACACAAAGTTGGGCAGCTTAATTAACAGCCACACATATTAGTCATGGATTTGTCTAAATCACCCCCATAAGATAAATAACCCCATCCGGATGTGACCTAACGAAGTTAAAACATTGTATTGAAAATCATATCAACTATTTATTTAATTTTATATAGATATAATAGTATTAGTCCACTTATTTATCACATGAGATAACTTGGATAAATCCATTAATCATATTTAAATTATTGAAAAGAAGGACAGAGGTAAATGGCGAAGTTCCGATGTGTAACTAATATTTAATTCTTATACACAGAATTTCATATATTAAGTAAAGGGGTTAATTTTCTAAATTCATTAAATGTGAAGGGGTTAAAGGAAATTTGTGGAGGATGACTCACCATAAAATACAGAAAAGAGGAGACCATTATGGTGGAATATTTGTGCCAATATGCGTCAGCAATGGGTGCCACCAGCAATGGCATTATGGAGGTGAATCCTACCCAACTGTTAACCATCTTTGCTGCAGATGAGTTGCTTAGTATCACAACATCAGTTAGGTAAGTTACCAAATTAGATGCTACCCCTTTGAATGCAAACCTCTCTATGCCTGCAATGGCTGATAAAATGCACCACAAACAAACAAAAGTTAAACCTTTACCAGAAAAAAACAACATAATAGAAAAATCAGAAGGAAAAGAACACTTAGAACCTAGAATTTTGGTTAGATTCTTGATTCCGATTCTTTTCTGATATTCTAAGATGCTAAAATAGGACTACTTTCCTATGCTTTTGAGTTTAGAACAAGTCCAGCTCCCTCTGGAGAGCCATTTGTGTTTAATTTTAAATTTTCTTTTTTGTCTTTCCACATGCACTCGAAGATGAAAATTACTAATTAGGATAAACTTACATAGAACATTAGAGCCAAATTCACTAATGGGATTAGTATACTTCCCTCGTCTTTATCAAATTCTCATGCAGTAAGGTTGAAAGTGTGAAAGCAAACACAAATATTTACCTATGAGAAGAATGCATGACTTATTGAGCCTCCGGATTGTCTGTCTACCAGCCATGAGAAAGCGACACCAAATGCAATGAACCAACCAAACCAAACCAACCCCTGCACTCTGAAGTTCAACAAACAAGTCACAAGTAACTAAGAGTGCAACAAGAATATTACAAACCGAAGTGGGTTGTGCTTCCTCCTGATCATGTTTTGGCCTTTTCTCAGTTGTCACCAATCACTGTTTACTCAACCCCCCACCACCAAACACAAACAGCACCGCTAGCTTTTCTTCCACCCTCAAAAGCCTTAAGTTTAAATGGCTTTGGAGATTGAAATATACATATATAGCAGTGATGAATTGTCTTTATTAGTTGCTTATAATGGGACAATGTACTTTCACTTTGTAGAATGTCACACCAAAAAGCATTTATCACAAAATAAGTTACTTGCTTTGCTGCTAGCTTTTTTATATAGCTCACAAGACAAGTGCTAAAGTTAAATAGAACGAACTTTCAGTTTTGAGAGTGGATTTATGTATATAATTGTGTTACCCTCTGCCCAATCGTGAATGGCATCAGGTTAGTTCTATGCAACACACTCTCTTATGGGAGGTTACACCTCTTTGACACGTGACCTTTGCATGCTTGACACGTCCATTGCCACCCTTCCTGCTCCACGTAACCAAACCAATAATATTAATTAAAATTATTACAAAAAATAATATATATATATATATATAATAATTTTTTATTAAAAATTATAAAATCTAATGTTATTTAATATATTGATGATATTGAATATTATAATTAATAAAATTTATCTTATATAATTTTTTTATTATGTACAATATTGTACATTGAAAATAATTATTAATTAATGTAAAATATTAAGTTGTAATTATTAGTTTGCTTAAATTATTTACAAATAAATAATTTAATATAAATTAATGAAATTTTATGTATAAAAAATTGATGTAATAATTTAATGTTATTAGTTTTTTAAGATGATTCATAAAATGTATTTCTTTTATAAGAGAAATTAATATAAGAATGTGTGATTATAAATCTCAAAATAAATAAGATTATACAAATAATTAATATTTTAAAAAAAAGTATATTTTTTATTTATACTTTAGATTAAAAAAACAGTATTAATTACTTCTTATGAAAAGTGATAAAAAAAATAACTTTAATAATATTAAATGAGAGTAAAAAATTATATTATAATATTTTTAAAAATTAAAAATTTTAATTAATTTTAATCATCTCTATTGATTTGTGTAATTTAATTAAATATGTTTTATTAACATATAAAAGTATTTAATAAACATCTATAAGCATGGGTGTTGATGTAATCTCTATAACAAATAAATATTGCTATTTTTTTTTAAATATAATAAACAAGACTTATTTCCCGCTCTATTTATTATTAAACTCTTTTATTTTTATTGTAATATTTGTATTATTAAGAAGATATTCAATCAGTTAATGAATGACCTATTAATTTAATTATTTGTTGTTAAAGATATTTTTAAAATACATTATTTCACTTTATTATATATAATTAGGGATAGAAACAGCACAATGACTATTCAACTTTAAAGTTATATGCAGATTTAGACAAAGTATAAGTTTCGTGTTTCCTAGCTGAAGTAATATGTATTCATATTTTGGGATAGAAACAGCACCATGACGATTACTCAAGTAGTTTTAATATGTATTTGTAAAAGATATTTAAATTGAAAAAATAAATTATTTATCACATAAATTTTATCCAAACCTGAGTATTTATGCGTGAAACATTTACAGAGATGAGTTTATTTTTGAGCTAATATTTAATTCAACCTGTTTCATATTTACGTGTTATTTCACATTTAAAATAAAAAATTAAAGTTATACAAACTTTTATATATAACTAATTATGTTATTACCTTGTTTTCAAAAATATTTTATAAATTATTATATATAATAAATATTACTTGAATAATTATATAATAAAAAAATTGTATTTCTTATTTTAAAAATTATTATATATAAATAGTTAATGCTAATATACAATTTTCTTTAACGTATCTTTGGGAGTGTAGGCATTAGACTTATAAGTTTATTAAATTAGTTATTTCATAAGTTTGTTATATTGAATTTGAATTTATGTAAATTATTCTATAATTTACAAGATACTTTTAATGAATTTATTATGTTAAACTTAAATTTAGTTATATATTTATTTCTTATATCTTATGATTATATGAAATAATACTTTTATTAGTATATCTATTATCATTCTAAAATGTTTATTATCAGTCTTATTTAAATAGTTTTATTTAGAATAATTTTTATCTCCATTAATAAAATGAATAATAGTATTTTAAAATAAAATATTCTTAAATAAATTTCAATAGATATATATAATTCATAATAATATTAATAACTATTTATTAAACTAAAGAATAGAAAAATCTAAAAATTAATATTTATATATCCATAAAATATGAGAAGAGAAATTAAAATTATTATTTATACCAAAATATGTAATTTCTTAATATTCTACTTAAAATCTATTATTATTATCATTCCTAAGAAACGGTCAAGTTTTTTTATCCAACAACTTAGATAGATGATGTATAATAGTATGTAAATGACATTATATATCTTTAAAAAAGTATGGAAAGAGTAAAAGATGCACAACCTAACCAAGTTATGTAAAACTTTCACTGGCAAAATCTGTAGAGGGTTCCACTTCACAAATCCAAGGATTCTAATTTTCTATGCTTCAAATCACCAGAAACTTGAAAGGGAAGGTTAGGTGGGTAATTAAGAATTTGGGAAGGTTACTCCTTCTCTGTGAGTGTAAAAACCTACTGGCTTAACCATATGCAAGAAATAGACAATAATACACACGCACATACGTGTCACAACATTTTATATTTGTATGGGTTTTATCATTTCATCATTTTTGAGCCAACCCATTTTCTGCTTATTTATTCAAAGTATATCACTCCTACAAGTATATATATATACAAGGAATGTGACACAAATAGAAAATGTATGATAAACATTTCGTGTTAAAATGCACGTCCTACTCCTTCGTCATCAAGCTTATATGAAAAAAAACAATAGTCCTGCATGTTGTAGATGATACTCAGTGCTTAATTGATTAAATATAAATTCCAAAATTGATATATCCATTTTGTTAACGTGTGTTTAAAAACATACATTAAAAATAAAGAACAATATATTTGTTTTAAAAAATTATAATATTCAGTATTATTAATGTTTAAATTTTTTGATTATAATAAAAAATTGTTGTATGTAAATGATTATTATACGTTAAAAAAACTATTTATATATAAATTCACAAACTACTCATTCAAGAGATTGAAGATAACATCGCCATGCATCTCTCTTGCTGTTTTTAAAGTTGGTGGTTCAGTGAGATGGAAGCCACTTTGTTTAATTATGACACGAAATTGTAGTGGGGATTATTAGGCACACAGGGGGGGTGACAGAATATGTGTATATTGAACATTCCACGTGTACATGTAAGTAATTATTAATAACATTGTTCATTCAATGTTTTCATCAAAGATGACTTACTTTACAATACTCATTGAATAGGATCTGAATATAAAAGGTTTATGATGGGATATGCTGTTTATAGAATTTGAACTACCCTTGACTTCTAGTTATAAGACTATTTATTACATAAGCCTAGCTGATCCTTAATTCATTATCCTAAAAAATTCAGATTATTCTGTAATCAGATTATCCCTGTTGTGTTCATATTAGAATTGTTTATTCAAATTTTATTTTTGTTGAAATTTTAGGGTGTGTCAAAAAATAGATTATCTCACTTTCAAAATTTAATAAAATAAAAAATATCTTAACTTTATTTTTAATAATACAGGACATTTTAACAGGGCTAAATTTGACCGTGGCAGCATTGTGACTGCTACTGTTGTTTTCTGCTGAAACTGATTAGTTGACAACTAGGCAAGGAACACAATGTTGGCATGAGTGCGCACTATATATTTGTTCAAATCCGTTTCTTAGGCCATTTGTTTTTCTTGACCAAACGTAATTTGTTAACATGGACAATGGTGTCACTTTATCAAAGTCTTAATTTATTGATGAAATTAAGGGTATAAATTGTAAACAGTGAATTTAAACACATACTTTTGCAATTATCCGAATTTGAGTCACCTTTACTAAGTTACTACACATGTTTTAGGATTTTTATGACAGAAATTTATCTTCAGCATATTCGGTATCAACACACTTTAATATACCTTCTTCTTTCACGTCACTCATGGTCCTGGCTCAACTATCTGTAACTAATATTACGTAACTAGTCCATTAATTGTTTCTTTCTAATTTTTCATAAAGTTAAAGGGGTATTAAAAACAAAAGAAAAAGTTGCAGAGTCCAAAAAATTTTCTAAGTATGCTATGTACACAAGCAATTGCTTTATTTATATGGTATATCTAATCTCTAAAAGGCAGTGTCATCCACACATTCAAAAAAAGAAATACACATTATCTACATGTTATTGGATCATTTGAACAACATAAACTCAATTTCGTGAGAGAATGAAACTATTAGCCAAGCATGAAAACCATTGACAATGGCACATATATGAGTGCAAAGATAGCAGTGCCATGCTTATCAAGCAAAGCAGAGACCAACATGCATGGAACAAGTAATGGGAAGGCTTTTAGGACAGAAAGTGATGCCCCACAAGAATTTTTATCAAATAATTGTGAAGGGTGTTATCAAGATATGTTCAAAAGGGATTCTAGCTAGATCAGCTTTAATCTCCACTAACGGGACAAGAAGGGTGGTCTTCAATTTGCTTCAAATAAGCTATTTTTGAAAGGGTCAAATGGACAAGAGAATCAGGATCCATGGATTGATTCCACCATCTTTATGTGTGAGTGATTCCAGCATTGAACACAAAAGCTTTGGCCTAAGTGTCTCATAATGTTTCAACTTTCATTAATCTACATGACTATCCATAATTTCACAAATCCTTAATAATTAAAAAAAAAAAAGACACACAATTACCTCTCTACTTTTCAAATATTAGCTCTGAAAATAAGTTATGACACAGATGGTCGTTTAAAATAATGTTGCTCCCACTAATAATTTAATTATGACACAGATGATCTTCATTTGAGGCTATATATATGTGTATATAAGGTGTGGAAACAAACACTAGTAATAGAAAATAAATGGTTAAATTATTATCTGATGTTAATTAACTTTATCAAGTAATAATGATTGTTATGAGATAAAATCAAGAGAATTAATGTTGTTACCGCTTGTGTTGTTAGAAGAATGCGCTCCTTTGAAACCCCAAAATCATGTGGGCGTCATTTTAGCTATAGGTGTTGACAAATCAAGATCCATACCTCATGGCACTCCTCTGGTTTCTGGCACAACAAAGATTCAGGTTTTGATATTCAACAGAAAACTTTGTTTAACTTGATGGGACCAAAGCCTAATAATTATATTATCTATGATGAATGGAGATTGTGAAACAAGGAGTTTTATAGCAGCTGAAGTGTCTCCAAGGAATGCTGAAGCTTGTTGGAATTGTTCAAGTTCAGAGATCTGTTTTTAACCTCTTCTACCTTCAATTTTCTTTTTTTGATGTTTGATTAGTGGTAAGCCACACAAGAAAAAATTTGTAGAATGTAGTAATTCTTGCTGCCATCTCATTTCTCCATAATTGTTTCTCCTTTTTCTTGTAAGAGAAAAAAAAAAGATTTTTTGGTTGTCTCCAAAATAATTCAACATGTTATATATATTGAAGGCATTATTATATTTGTATATAAGAAAGGAAAATAAGTTTTCTTGATCCATCGTACATTTAATTAATTATTAAAAATTTATATATACTATATCCTCTAAAATGTCGTTTGGTGATGCACATTTGTTACTCATGAGTTTGGTTTCTGTAATATGTATTCAAAATAACCTTGCAATTAATATAAAAAATGTTTTATTTTAAATTATGTTTAGTGTTAAATTTATAATATCATTTAATCATTTACCGTTAACAAAAAGATTTTCTAATATCAAAATTTATATAAGATGTTAAAATGTAATTATGTGTGAATAAAATTGGATCAAAATCAAGCAAAGTATTGCTTTGATCAATTTATCTACATTTAAGCGTGACTCAAACAAACGGAACCATGGAACTAGTTTTTTAATGGGGTTGTGTAACAATTGTTTATTCTATTTATATAAACAGCTGTTAATTAAGAGAAAGAGAAATAATTTTAAGGCATAATTAATTATATAAAAAAACTTTTTTTTTCATTTTTTTCAGTATTTGAAACTAGAAAGAAAAAGGATAGAGTTAAAGTTGATACTAAGATCAGGTTATTCAGGGAAATTATTTTGGGTTAAACAGTTTATGTTTCCTTTTCTTGAAAAACGAATGAAGCATTAACTATTTTAATGTTCTGAGTGGTCCAACATTTTTTAATCAAATTAACTCCTTTGGATGGATGAATGTTAAGGCCAAAAGATTTTCCACTTCAAACATGGCGGCTACTCTGCTACTCCAAAGCATAATAACTTGTATTAAATCAAGTATTTAAAAGCATTAGCTTGCATTCCACATATCTATAATAGAAAATGAGTATATGATGGAGAAAAATATAAAAATAGAAAAAAAATAGTATATGATGGAGAAAATAGAAAAAAATCATATAAGAATAAAATAATTCTTACTTGTTTATATATGTAAATATTATTAGTTTTTTTTTTTTACTAAAAACTTCATGTGACAATTTTTTTTATTTCACAATTTCCATACTCTTTCAATAAAAAGTCACATGAAATTTTCTTATTTTTTTATTTTAAAACATTTTAACTTGCTAATTTTTATTAACTTTTCATTTATTTCATCTTTATACTTGTTAACCTTTTATACTCTCAATCTTTTAAACTTTTACCATATTATCATATTTTTTATTAAATATATGCTTAATATAAATAAAAAATAATTTTATATTACTATGATTAATAATATATATATATATATATATATATGAGAAGTATTTTTTCATAGTAGTATAAATTTAAAAACTCCAACATTCAATTTAAGTATTTTATTTAATTTATATTTAACGGTTAATAAAGTAATAAATTATAACACATTAAACGTAAATTAATTAGTGACATATGATTTTTTATTTTTTAATTTATTACTTTAATAATTTATTTAATAATTTTTAGATATTAAATAACAACTTAATATTTTTATTAACTATATACTTAACATAAAAAATAATCAATTGATATTATTAATTATATAATATTATTAATAAAAAACATTAAATAGATTATAGACCCGTACATCGTACTGGACACAAAATCTAGTTTTTAGAGGAGAAAGTTCTTCCATTTATCGTAGTTTGAGCCACAACATTGAAAAATAAAATGGAAGAAAAAATGTTTCTTCACCATAAACCACTGACCTAAGCATGTAGGAATTAATAGGATATCTTTGCTTCACTCTATAATAAATCAGCTTCATTTATTTCAATTACTTTTCAAAGTCCACGGAAGTGGCTTTTTCACTTTCACAACTTGCTTCTGACTAGTGAGCTACACCTTCAACATTTTGAAACTGTTGACATTATCAATTAGCCACTCGATTATATTAATCATTCTCACATTTTCTCATCAATTATTGTACCAAAATTATCCTTTATTTTCCTTTTGTGTTCAATTAGTAGTTAAAATGCTTTCTTATTTTTGTAATTTTAACATGAGTTAGGTTATTTAAATCAATTCTGACAATTGTAGTTACATTTTATTTTGTCTCTAATTTCACTTAGATGTTGTAAAGGTAGATGAAAATAACTTAACAAATAAACTTGATGAGTCTTACAATGAAAAAATGTTGATCCACTAGAGAATCAAATAGAATTTATGCTCACTAATATATTATATTTGATAAAATTAGTTAAAATGCTATATTTTATACTGCAGTTGATAATTTCATGGATAAAAAGCCTTATTATTAACGCGATACCTCATGTTATGCTTGTTTAGGTAACAGGTGGTACATGCAGTGGTACACTTTCAATTTTTTTTAAATAACAATTAATATATTGATAATTATTTTTTATAAATAAGATTAAAGGTGTATATATATTGTTAACAAACACAAATTTTCTATATCTCACACAAACATATCATTTAAAATAATTAATTATAATATTAATTAGATTGATATTTTTAAATTATTATACATTTTAAAAATATACTAAATTACACTCCACCCCCATCATTTCTAACCCTAATAAATTTGACTGAAAATATGTTGAAAAAACTATTCTTATTTAACCCAAGTTAAACCTTGTGAAATAAAAACAAAAAACAAGCATAGCGTTTGCAAAATCTGGTTTATATTTTATTCATGCAATTCCCACTCTCATGCATAGCATTTATAACACTAAATAAAAAACAATACACAATACTACTTTAAAATGTCAAATTTAGATCCGTCGTTTTGGGAAGTATAAAACAAATGGTGATGATGCATCAACATAATTAGTATTATTTGCAATGAAAAATACTGTACTGCATCAACATAATTAGAACAATGCAAGGCTAAATTTTTTCAACTTAGCAGCATGTTTGAAAAAGCATCAATTATGATCATACTCGTTCTTTTTTACGCAAAAGCTACTTTGAATAGCGTTTAAAAGACGTGCGTTTTAACCTTTTCAAAATCAAACAGACGCTTGCATAGAAGCATTGCAGCATGAAAGTTGTTGCAATCACTTTTTTAGAGTATTGGGTGAGTTTGGTTTTTTACTTTTGAAGAATCAAATAATGAGAGAACAAAGGAAAAGCATCTGTGCTCTGTGGCTGTGCTTGTGTGTGGAAGAGGTAATAATAGGTAACCATGATATGGTAAAATAATACAAAGTCAAATTGAACCCAAAGTTAACAAATGTAAATAAAAAGTGGCATAGAGTGTTATTTTGGGGGTAAAAGTGAAATTTAGTATGATATGAAGAGAGTGAGTGTTATTTATCTAAAAATTTATGATATCAAATATTTTTTTAAAAATTTAAAAATATTTGTTTATGTCTTTGAATATTTAAAAAACTAATTTGACATAAAAAATATTAAATGGAAAGAAAATAAATCTAAAAAATAAATTACTAGTTAGTCCAAAAATATTAAATTGTTAAAGTTAACTTTTTTGTTTTTATACTATAATATTATCAAATCAAAATATTAAGCATATAAACTTAAGGAATGGTTTAACAAATTATTATTATTTAATTGACATTATTTTACAATAAAAGTATTAATATATTATTATTTTTAATATTTACTATTATAATAATAAAAAATATTAATTTTAAACTTACCTTGTCTATTTCAAGTCAAGAGGCATATCATATATCCCAAAGCTCTTTTTAACGAATTATAAGCATGATTTACCCTCAAAATTAATAAACAAATTAAAAACGCAGTTTTATCCATTGTTCACCACACGATAACGCAGTTTTAAATTCAAAAACCAGATTCTGATCGGATTATTTTTTTATATATAGTATTTAAAAATAATATATATATTAAAATATGATATATTTTAAAAATTATAAAAACATGATATTTAAAATTATTAATAAAAATGTTTAGTGCAAAAATTTAAAGATAGAATAACAAAAAATTATAAAACTTTATAAGGTTAAAATTCGATATGACAATTAAAAAAAAAACAACAGTAAAATTTAAAAATAAACTATTTTTAAAAAAATTAAAAAATTTAAAGTACCTAATAAGTTTTAAAAACTTAATTTATTTTTATAATTTTTTCAAAAAAAAAAATCATGATATTGACCTATCCTAAATTTTTCTATTATTTTTCTTTTCTTAATTTTTTTCACCCTCACCTGAGTCTCCCTTACCTTAACTAAATCTTCGCAACAATTTTTCTCGTATTCTTTATGGTACTGCCATGTACTATGGATCTCCTCTGACTGTTAGTCCAAACCGTGAGAAACTGTAAACTTACCGCACAACACATAACACGACCCTAAAGCCAAACAAAGTTGGTTTTGGATCCACAACTTTCACTTCAAATCCCAGAATTCAATCTAGCATTGTCCTCTACACTTACAAGTTTGGTTTTTGAGCTTAAAGATCTGTGTTTTGGTAATGGAGAGCTCGGAGAAGGTGGTTGCTGTGATCATGGTGGGGGGACCCACTAAAGGTATTTGAAATCTTTGATCAAAACTAGAGTCTTTTTGTGTTTTGGGAATTTGGGGTTCCCTCTTTTTACATGCCTTTGTTCAATTGTGTCTGCAGGGACCAGATTTCGTCCTCTTTCCTTCAATATTCCCAAACCCCTCTTCCCTATTGCTGGCCAGCCAATGGTTCACCATCCTATTTCTGCTTGTAAAAGGGTTTGCTTCGTTTTATCCTCAATTGCCTTTCACACTGTTCCTTATCAAATTGGGGTGGGTTGGGGGGGGGGGGGAACAAATAATTAGGTGGAACTTCAGTTTCAATGTTCTCTTGCATACGTTTGTGTGTATGTGTATAAACTTGAGTCTTAATATTGTCATGGATTATGGATATATGATATGATTTCCATTAGTCTAAAACTCAAATTGAATCTCACCTTAACGATTTAGTGGGCATTTGGATACACACTCTATTGAATTGCTTATTTAAATAAGCTGTTTTTAAACAATGACTAATGCCATAAATTTAACAATAAAATCTGTTGGAATAGCTGAAAATAGCTTATTTGGATAAGGTATTCAAAGTAAATTAATGAAATAAGTTGAAAGCAACTTGTAGGAATTATAGATTATTTCTATAAGCTGTCTATAAGTTCTTTCAAATAGGTCCTTAAAAGGTGTGGAATGTAAAAGGTGTGGACTGTTTTGACTTACTAGGTTTGTCTTCCACAGATACCCAATTTGGCTCAAATTTATCTTATTGGATTCTATGAGGAGCGAGAATTCGCTCTATATGTCTCTTCAATTTCAAATGAGCTGAAATTACCAGTAAGGTGACTACTCCTTTGGTATCAGCTTTAATAGAAGAAAGTATGGTTGTAAACTCTGTTAAATGCTGGACCTGACCCTGGTGTGCTACTGTCATCAATCTAGATATTTGAAGGAGGATAAACCACATGGTTCAGCAGGTGGCCTTTACTACTACAGAGATATTATCATGGAAGACAACCCAGTCAGTAACTCTGCTCTTATGACCGCATTCACGTAATATTGTTGATTAACTTTAGAATGCTTAATGTATAACTTCTAACAGATTTGCTACATTTTGATGGCAGTCACATATCTTTCTATTGAATTGTGACGTGTGCTGCAGTTTTCCTCTACCATCGATGCTTGGTAAGTATGTTGCTTTTAAGTCATGGAAATTATTCAGAAGTATGGTGCTACTAAAATGTTTCTTGTTTCCTCTTGCAGATGCCCATAAAAGATATGGTGGGATTGGGACATTGTTGGTAATCAAGGTTGGTGCTTAAAAAATGTGTGTATAAATTGGGGTAGCATTTACTGTAGAAAAAATGGTAGAAAGAACCTCACCTTAGGTGGTTTAGATGTTTGGACAAGATGAGTAGAAACTCTAATAAGTAGAGTAGAAACTCTAATAAGTAGAGTAAGGGTGCATTTGAATATATAACTTAAGTACATAGTCAATACGCTCTTTTTCAATGATAACTTATGCCATAAATTTAATCATGAAATTTATTAGGATAAGTTGAAAACAACTTATTTTGGTAAGTTATACCAAGTGGGTTATTGAAATAAATTAAAAAGAGATTATGAGTCATAAGGTATTTCCATAAATTCTTCCAAATAAGTTATAAATTGAATGGATGGTAGCCCTATTGCTAGAGGTGGGTAGAGGGAGACTAAGAAAAATTCTAGGCAAAACCACTAAGAATGATTCACAATAGTACAGTGTGATGTCATTTAATCCATGTAGTCAACACCACTTAGTTGGAAAGAGGGTTAATTTGTATCCAGCATAGTTGTTAATAACGCACTAAAGTGGCGCTATTGCACCGGTGCGGCCATTGGCCGCCACATTGCGGGACGTTTGTCATGTCTAACAGTTGCAGGGATTCACGGCCAGAATGAGGAGCAGTTTGTGTGATTTTGGGAAAGCAAGAAACCCTGCTCTGTTTTTTCTAAAACGCACTGCTTTGATTATTTTTAAGGGTAGAAAGGTCATTTACCCTTTATAAAACCTATATATCATAAATCGATTTCATCTTTCCCACACTCTTCCTCTCTGCACAAAAAGTCAGGGCCTCAACATAGCAATTTCTCCCCTCCTCGCCGGCATACCCATTCCATTTTGCTAGAGAAATCAGTTTTTCCGGTGTCTCTTCTGTTTTTTTGTTCACTGATTGCTCTTACTTCAAGCTCTGTTTTGTTGTTCATCTTCTGTTTTTCTGTTCAAACTCTATTTTTCTATTCATGCTCTATATTTTTGTTTGCACCCTGTTTTGCTATTCACGACTTTATGTCCTGTTTTGCTGAAAGAGATAAAGCTCTATTTTTTGGTTCACAATCTATTACTTGGAAAGTCGGGACTTGAACAATCTACAGAGTTTTGCACTTCGCTTGGAATGATGATTATCTGATTAATTTTGAGAATTTCTTGAGCATTTATACTAGAATTCTGTGTACATAATAAATTATATATGCATATTATAAATTTTTAAATAGCAATCATTCCTCTTTACATACAAATGGTGATACATCTTTGTGTAGATGGATCGTTTTTTAATTGCAAAATCGCTTTTTCATTCTCCCTCTGGGGTTGTGGATGTCTTGTGTAGGTTTCAGCTGAATCTGCTAACCAGTTTGGTGAGTTGGTTGCTGATTCAACCACTAATGAACTGCTGCATTATACTGAGAAACCTGAGACATTCGTGAGTATTTAGTTTGATTTGTTTCTCTTCTTTTATTTTTTTCCAAGAGAAAAAGCACAATCCAATGGTGATCTTGATTGGTAAAAACTATATTGTCTTTCTTTTCTTTTCTTTTTCATTTTTTTCGCTTTTGACTACGTCTAGAGAAAATTAACCAATTTATATAATGCAGGTTAGCGATTTGATAAATTGTGGGGTCTATATTTTCACCCCTGATATTTTTACTGCCATCCAAGATGTATCTATGAACCGAGAAGGCAGAGGTTGGACTCTTTCGATCACATTTTAAAAGCTTCTATCATAAAAGGCTTATTTCATCTCCCTGATACACAAGATTTAACTTGGCTTTCAACCTTTGGAATTTATTGCATAGAACAATACTGCAGCTTAACAAGCACAAAGACACAAACAAGTACATACTTGCACACATGATAATGAATGCTATTCCCTGCTTTCACCCCTTGTTCAGTTTCTTCTTTTACTAGATAATCAATAATAAGAATAGGCCGTAGTCTTACTATATATATATATTGTTCCTTATTCTTTCTTATAATTTAAATCTTAAAAGAAAATATAGGATGCTGTACATTTACTAATACAACATATTACAGTGGTCAAATAATTGTCTTTTAATCTATCCTACATTCATCACATATTTTTCCATCTATCTATGGCATTCGTGTCTGAGAACTATTAGCTTGGTTTACTTTGTTATTTACAGTAAACTTGTGCCATCGAAAATTGACTTAATTCCATTGACTGCACTGCAGCTAATCTGCGTCATGTCTCCAGCTTTGAAGCACTCCAATCTGCCACAAGGTTGATTAAATACCACTATTTTTATTGTTAAAACAAAATTCAAGACATGCATGAATACACATCACTAACAACCTACTGGTTCAGATGCAAGTCAAATGTGAAAGAGTTGCTACAGTTGACTACAATTTTCTCTTTTAGTGATTAAAAGTAATATAGCTCGGTATAACACAAATATCTGACCCTCATTGCTTTTCATTCTTCTACTTCTTGATGATTCAATGAAAATTACCATCCATCATGTTGGTTCCAAAGTAGTCATCCTTTTCATTGCACATTTTTTCCCACTGAAAACTCCAATATCTTTAAAGATTCATTAAGTTATTTTTCCTTCAGAACTATTCCTACAGATTTTGTAAGACTGGATCAAGATATATTATCACCTCTAGCCGGAAAGAAGCAGCTGTATACATACGAGACAATGGACTTCTGGGAGCAAATTAAAACTCCAGGGTAGAGCTCCCTATCTTAATTCTTCCTTAACCTTTATTCTTTGACCATTATTGGGTGTTACTTACAGTATACACTTGACATAAACAGAATGTCATTGAAATGCTCAGAATTGTATCTTGCTCAGTTCCGGCATACTTCACCCCATCTTTTGGCCAGTGGAGATGGTAAAAAGAATTCCACCATTGTTGGGGATGTATATATTCATCCATCTGCTAAAGTTCATCCATCTGCAAAGGTAGTTCCATTCCCTCCACAAGATTGTAAATCCTTTCTTCTTTTAGACAAAAACTAAAAATAGCAATAATACGTTGATATAAATTTTCTGCCGTAAACCATTAAAGACTAAACGGTAACTACCTGGTGAAGTGCTGAGTACATAGATTAGGTAGATTCATGCTTAAATGGAAAAGACTTGGCTAGAATTATACAATATTCCCAAATACTATTTTGTGAGTGCATTGGTGCCATTATTCAAGTTTAGGAATTTACTGGTTAGAGTGACCGTTTCGTGGACAAATGATGATGGCAAGAGTTTTATTCAGACTCTCAATTCAATGTTTTACTTGTATGAACAGTGTATATTGCATTATTGCAAATTTGCAATTATAAAGATGTTAGTTATAAGTAAAACTAGAACAAAATTGTGGAGAAAACTGAAATTTTTGTTTTCATGGAGCTGAATACTTTGCATGAAATATATAATATATTTTTTCTTTCTTGAACAGATTGGTCCCAATGTTTCTATCTCAGCAAATGTTCGTGTAGGTGCTGGTGTCAGGCTAATCAGTTGTATTGTCTTGGATGATGTTGAAATTAAGGTAAGGAACTAGTGCCTACCTAACATGTGTATTGTAATCTTTTCAATGTATAAAAAAATGTGTTTTACTCCTGACAGGAAAATGCTGTAGTTATAAACTCTATTGTTGGATGGAAGTCATCACTTGGAAGATGGTCACGTGTGCAGGTTAGTTCCATTCATTTTTAAAACTAGTGCAGATGCTAAATGAGCAAAATGCAAAAATATGGAGAAATTTTAAATAAAATGAAAAGTTTCAACAATCAACATGCCATAAACATCTGCAATTTTGATTTAGTGCTCCAAATTGTAACTGCGGTTCACTTTGGTCGCTGAATTTACAAAATCTTTGCTTTTGACTTTTGACTTTACAAAACAATATTCATTTTAGTTCTTTTTCAGTTAATTTTTTATCATCGTTCTGAATCAAGAAAGACAAAAATGAATGTTATTTTGTAAAGTCTAAGATCAAAGTGAGAATTTTGTAAATTCAGGGACCAAAGTAAATGAGCGTTATAATTTGAAAGACTAAAAATGAGGGTTTGCTCTGCAGTTTTATTTGGTGATAAAAAACATGTTTAATACCTTATTGTGGCTGACCAATACTGAATTGAATGGTTCAGGCTGATGGTAACTACAATGCAAAGCTTGGCATAACCATCCTAGGTACACACCGCCAGCCAACATAATTACCTTTTGTTTATTTCATACAACTTGCTATCAAAGTTGACGTCCTGTTACCTTTTGTTTATTTCTTACAACTTGCTATCAAAGTTGATGTCCTGTTGTCTTTATCAGCACTGACCTTGTTTCCATTTTTTTCCCTATAATGATAATATAGGAGAAGCTGTAACAGTTGAAGATGAGGTGGTAGTGATTAACTGCATTGTTCTTCCCAACAAGACTCTGCATGTCAGTGTGCAAGAAGAAATCATCTTATAATCTGGAGAAGTGAGTTTTACCAGTTACTTACCAAAGAAGAATGTTGAAGCACATCGGTTTTCCAATTTATATCTCAAATTTGTTTTGATCTAATAGTGACAAATTAAAGTTCAGGTCCAGGAACTAGGAAAAATATTCACTTTAATACCATCTCATACAAGAAGGGCGTGGAATTTTTTACATATATATGGGATTGTGTACAATTCAATATTCTTTTTTCTCTATCTTTCCAAATTTGTTTGATGTCCACCACTGGACTTACAAAACTTATTAGTGTAAATCAAACTTTTGACCGAAACCTTGTACGCAATAGCATGCTATAATGCTATATAGAATACCTTTTTTTTTTCACGTCTTTCGGGGAATGCAAGGCGCACATTGATACTTAATCCATTGTTGTCGAAATTAGATTGAACCGAATAGTTCAACCAATTAGTGTGTTTGGGTGAGCGTTTGTAAACTTGATTATGTAGAACTGAATTTGTTGGAAAATGAGTTTAAAATAACGCAATTTATGTTTGGAAACTTCTCTCTTCAAAGTAAATTTGTAGTAAAAATTAGTATACATTTTTCAACTCAATACAAAAGTTACAGTTTACCACGTTAGCTCAAATGTGAGTTTTAAGACAATCAATTTTGATGGAGCATCTGAATGTAAGTTTTTTTTTTATACAAAATCACGTTACAATGCAATAAACATGATTTTAGGTCAACTTGACTTACATCCAAACATGCACTTAAATTGTTAATTGAATGCGTAATGATTATTGTTTGATCTCTAAACTAATTTTACAGTTAAATCCTTTTAAAGCATTCCAAATCCAGTTGACAGATCAGTTTAAAAAGTTAAATCAACCTATCATTAAATTGAAAAGAAATGTTTTTACAAAGTTTGTTTAGTTTTTGGTGCATGAGACTCAGACATGTTTACAGAATTTGTGCAAGAATCTTCTTATCTAACAAGAGGTGGCAAATAACTTTTTAAAAATATGACCAGTTGCAATTAATCACCAATACTTGCGAGAAATGCAAATCGGGGACATTTTATAGAGCCAATGGATATTTAAAACTTGTTCCTTAATGTGAAATTTTGGAAATTCATTTTAATAATTGTGAATAATAATAATTTAGTATCAGTTGTGCAAATTGTTGAGCCCCCATCCAAAGAAGAATAAAGTCTCCTGCATAGATAGCGGTATTCAATCTGTACATGTATTACTAGTCTCCCTAAGGGACATGTTATACAATAACATTTATAAGTGGACTAAGCAAAACTCATCTTTCAACTGTTTTTAAGTCAAGAAAAACGTAAACAAATGCTACAGCAACACAATTAAGAGACAAGTAGCCGCAGATGCTATAAAACTCATCCATGCCTATATAACAGCAATCTACAAATGTCCACTTTCACGTTTCCTCAAACAATGCAATTGTAACTCCTCTTTGCTTGGACGTGTCTTCACACACGCTTCCTTACCTGCACCACCTTAAACTCAAATGTTTAAATGAGAAAACAGTCCAAGAATAATTCAACCCCCATCATGAATGGATCAGTTAGAAAAAATCCAGTAATAATTCATCTTAAACCAATCCAAGAATGCCCGAGGTTCAGCTTAAATCAGCAACAACAATTCAGTGACAAGTACTCTATTGCGGCCGCAACTCCAACTTATAAGCTTGTATTTCCATTGGAGATATTTCAACATGCCCCTCTTGTGCTATATATCCAAACTGCTCTGTGAATCCCATTACTTCAGGGTCTTCATGTAGAAGATTCAAGGAAGTTGCTTTAGCCTTCAAGACTGTAATATCCTTGAACATGTTGAACAGATCCACAGGGTCCTCAGCCAGATTAGTGCATTGTGATCTTCCCTTCCGGCAGTATGAAGAATCCCAATGTCGCCGGTGCAAAATTAGAGCAAATCTGGAACCTTCAGGTGGTTGCTGCAAAAATTTTAAAGGCTTGGGAACCTTAAAGTTCACTATGTGCAAATCACACGGCAAGGGAGTAGCAAGAGGAGAAAAGGATCTAGGTGGTGGCTTCACAGACATATCCTGCGGTTTCTTGGAGACAAATGCATGTAATGGATAGTTCAAGTGAGACCCAACACGGTGAGATAAAAGTGAAGGGCTGTAAGGGAAAGGGGTGGTAACTAAATTTGATGTGGCAGAAACATTTGTTTCCATGGTTATATGGAAGACAACATTCATTACACGGTTATCCATCACCCCTTGGCCCAGACCACGACCGTCATCTCTCATCAACCGGCGGTCAAGCATTATCTCTAGCCATCCATTTTTAAGGCTTGCCACACCTAACGATTGCCGAGAATGTACAGAAAACCGCCGACCATTCGATCCTTGTATGAATGCAAGAGAGGGCATTGGGTAGTAATTGCCTTGTAGAGGAATCTTATCATAAGTTTCTCTTCGGCTCATCTGAAATCCATTTAAGTCTGAATAAAAAATCTTCTTGCTATCAATATCAGTTTTATATCGAACTATCAACTCCCTATCATTGAAATCATGGCCAAGAAGCTCAACATGATATTCCTTCTCAATGACAAACCCTTGGACTGTACTCTCTCCACTATATATACGCGTGCTGTGAGAAATGGGGCCTTTCTCCCAAGTTGTCCTAGGATAGGAGTATACTTCCTGCATCAAAGGGCCCTCTGAGATCAGCAACTGCCCACCTTCTTCAACAATGAACTGGGCCTCACCATTGGGCTTAAACAAGTATGCCCCACCTGAACTAGAATACATACCAATTTCCTCATTTACAACATTTGGGGAACTATTTTTTAAAAATACCTTCTGCAACAAACCATACTTTACATCAAAAGTTAGTCTTTGATGCTGATTCTCAATTTCAGCCACATCAGCTTCTATTTTAACACAAGAATATGGTGTAGGACAGGCAACCGAACCAGACTTAGGGAAAATTTTCAACTTTGCAGGCCTGGCCTTTTCACATCCAACAAAGCCATTGGAAATATAAAATGTTTCCAATCCCATTGCAGGAACAGAAACTTCCCAGTAAAGTCGATGCCTCCCAGTAAAGATCTTGCTATTATGATACTGCAACTCAGGCGAAATTTGGCTTTGAACACAACTCCAGTTAGAGTCAACAACAGTAATGTCAGGACTGTCAACAACCACCATCACAACTTCTTCTCTGGTTTGCTCCAAAGGATTAAAGAAGACCACTGATTGGTAAGAACCCTCCCGAATACTAATCACTTTATGCAATGGTTGAGCATCATACTTAGATCTCACGATCATGGGCTCAAACTGGGAAGGACTTTGATCTAATTTATCATAGCGGATTCCAAGAAGTGCCTCGATGGCCTTAGACATAAAAATCTGCAGGTCCAGTAATGAAGTATGCATTCGGGTTCCATAGTCCATAACCACATGATCTTTTGCAGTACCAGTTACCCCATCATGATGCTGGAAAAGAGCTAAGTTCCTTCTAGCAGCAGTCAACTTATAGGAAAATCCCATTGCAAACTTCTCACAATGTGATCTCCGACAGCAGCCAAGTATTAGAGCTACCATCATTTCTGTAGCACGAAGTGTTTGTTCTAGTACCCTATCAACAGCCTTGAAGAAGGGCCGTGAAACATAATAACCACTCCAGTAGTCTTGTTGCCGATCAGCATAAGTAAAAAAGTCACCAGACAAAGAAGGAAAACCTTCAACTACACCAGATCCTATTTCACCAGGAGATGAGTAATTTATTCTCTCTGCTTCCTCACGCAGGGTTACAAAGTAGTCTTCCAGAGTACCAAACTTAGCCTCTGCATTCAAACTGGGGTTTGAATTGATATAATCAAACAACATTTGGTAATTTCTGAATTGGGCTTCTGCTTCATCAACATTAATATAGCGAAAATCATCTCCAAGGGGAACAAGAAGTGTTCTGGTCCGGTACAAAGTTGATTTTTTCCTATATTGATCCAGTAATTTAAGTGCTCTTTCCTGAACATTTTCCTGAGTGGTCTCCATAGGATGTTGCCCCCACGGGCATTGTTCATAAGCAAAACCCTGCATGCGTGCAAAGTCAAACTGACAACAAATAGCAGGCTCTGGACCACATGTATGAGGTATATCATATGAATAAAAGGGCATCATATGGACAAATATATCAGTTGTTTCCTCTGCATCCCAGCTTTGACGCCATACATATTCTAAATTCTTATGCCAGGCAAGCTCCTTCTTCAGCTCATAATGGGTCCTCTGGATAAGCATGTTGTCAAAACCCATGCGACGCAGAAGATATGCCATGGTAGATGAGTAACCAAATGGATCTATTGCCCAAGAATTCTTCGGAACAAACCCAATAGTGTCATTCAGCCACATATTTCCTTCTGCTATCTGTTATATAAGTGTCCTAAGATTAAGCACCATCACAAATATAATATACAAATCTCTAGAGAAAAATGATAATAGTCTGATATGAACATGAAATCACATTACGTATTACATGGACAGGTTGAATATTGGAAACATAATTTGCTCTTCTATTGAACGAATACCAAGTGCATAACTGCATATCCAAACTTGAGAGAGCATGTTCCATCAATACTGACTTGAGTTGTATTAAGAAGAGGTATGCTCTCTAGAATTTTACTTGATCAATATACACAGTACCTTTGGTTTTATGCGTTTAAACTTATTTGATATTACATATTACTGCTTGCAAAACAACACCATGCTTGGGATGCCAATTAGCAATTAGAATGATAAACTAAATTGAGAAAAGACAGCACAGATCATAGAACATTACAACAGAAAATAAGACATGTTTATCCAAATAAAAAAAGAGGAGCGATAAAAATAGATAGTTAAAAAGTTAAAAATTAAAAAATATAGATACACCTAGGAAAAGTAACATGTTTGGTTGAGAAAGAAAAAATTTACATCTAAAATATACTTTATTATCCATCTACCAATCATGTTATTAGACTGGATTAAGTTATTTAAAAAAAAAACGGAGAAAATAACATTTTAAATTTTAATCATCACCAGTATTATTAGGTAATATTAAACTGTATCCCAATTGACTAACTAAAAGTCCTAACTTTAAAAAAATAGCATACAAAAATCACATATTATCCATACTTAGCATGTCCCAGTATTTACATTTCAATCTTCAATACCTTTAAGACAGAATACATCACTTTTTTACAGTCATATAACAAGCCATCTCTCCAGTAATTTCACCGAATAGCTAAAAAAGTGTGCAAGTAATCATATCCTTCAGCATGCCAGCCAAATGCAATGCACAGTGATAAAATATAAAATAGGAAAACCTAACATAATTGAACTGTCCTTGTTTAAATGATGGTTAACTAAAAAATTGCAGAAAACTAAATAAATAATATATGCAATTGCAGTAAACAGAGAAAGCTTTCAGCATACCTGTTCAATTATAGCAAAATAATGGGAGTTGGCCTGCACATATGAGAAAGATTAAAAAGTCAAGTCTTCGAAAACAAACCAGAGACTACCATAATCAATTTCATTAACAGAAAAACTTTGACAAGGTACTTATTTAGACAATTATTCCATAAGCATGTTATGTCACTAGAGCATGTGCTTCATTAACAGGAGAGAAAACCGGAAGCTCCTTAAATTTAAAAAATTAGGCAGCAAAACAATTATGATGAAAAGTATCCCAAAACCAACCTTCAACAAATTCTCATTATGATAACTTCAACAAGAATAAAGATATCAACATAAAAAAAAAAAAAAACTATTGCTGTAAATAAGGTAATTCATAAAATCAAAATCACATTACCTCATCATTCATCACCCAGCCACCTCCAACAATTTCTAATTGCCCATGTTTAACCAAATTGATAAAGGATTCCTTTGTGTCCTCTGATGCATCCCTCCACCATCTCTCTAAGTACGACATCTCCTCCCATATGAACTTCCGGCGAGAATCCTACACAGTCCAATCATCCAGTCAATATCATAACTCAAGTTTCCCTCAAACTTATGACCAAAATCTAAAACAAAAGGAGCCACCTACAGAACAGAACTCACACACCCATAATCAACATTTTTCCCATTTCAGTGAGGCTTTTTTTATCTATCTTATCCCCTATACTACAATCTAACAATCCAATAACAACATTCATATTTACTTTAGGCAAATTTTAAACAGTGCCCTTAGACCACTACATAAGCAATTAAAATTGGAAAGTTGTGTCAAAAAATGTAATTAATAAACCTTCCTCCGTATTTTCCAATACAGTCGAACGTGTTTTTCAGAAATAACTTCCCACTTTTGATTCCTTAACCAGTGCCAAAATAGCAAGACCCTTACTTTTAAGATATACTATTTTTGCTATCACATGCAATGCCCCAACACACACACACACACTGATTTAACTAACTATAGTTACCTATAATTTCACGAATGACTAAACAATCAAGCAAACAAAAAAAAAAAAAAAACATAAACCCTTGAAAACCCAAAATCAGATTTGACCTTGCTAAGAGTTTGAACAATGGTATCAAGTATATGGCGGGATTGTCTATCATAGTATTCCTCAACAGTGAGTTTCCAACCAGGGTCATTATGGGAATGTGGCACGACAAACACCTTCAACTTCTCAGAGTCCCACTCATTCCCTCTATAAGTAACACTCCAACCCTGTTTCCACGCACCACCATCAACGTCCAAAAACTCAATCTTATCATACAAGGCCTTGGTTGTGATGTCGACAGAGGAACCCAAGAGGGTGGTGCTGTTCATAAGAAAGGGCTTTCTGGAGATGGGTTTGCGGACGCGTGAGGAACGCGCCCTGAAGTGCGTGGTGATGGGCTTAGGAACCCCAAATCGGAGAAGAATGAGAAGGAACAAGAAGAGGGAGAACAAAAGGCCAATGGTGAAGAAATTAGCAAAAATGAAATCTCTAAACACCGCGCGCTTCTTTCCCTTTCTGGGTATCTTCGATTTGGGGTTTGAAGATGGAAGGATCGATTGAGCCCAGTTTGCTCCGCGCCTCGTAGAGAACGCCATGTTTGGTGGCTGTGGCAAATTGGGAAGTGAAAATAAAAATAAAAAAGTGATTTTTTTTTTATTTGTTTCTTTTCACATGAAATGGTTGTGAGGATCTGAGGAGAAGAGTGGAAGATGAAGATGGGAAGTGTTGAAGATCAAGTGAAAAGGGTGGAATTGGGATGATGATAATGATGACGATGGATCATATTGATGAGGTTAAAGCTTGGAGTGTGTTTTGTGTTGTGTTTGAGAGTGTGAACCAAAAAATGGTGTAATGGAATTGGTGGGATATTTGTTTGGGAACTTTGGAAATGTCAATGCGTTGTTGTTGGTGGGATGTGGAAGCTGGCAAATGGCTATGTTGTGTAGTGAACTTCTCTATTTTGCTTTGCACAAAGACTTTGGAAAAGTGCTGCTGCGGTCCTCCCAAGGCATTGTCATGGCCACAAAATCTCTTTAATGTGTTTTTTTTCTTATATTATTTCGTGAAATTTAGGTTAATTTGTGTAAGTGTTTTGCTTATCAGTATCTTTAGGTCTAAGAGTGTTAATTAAAGACTTAATAAATATATATTTTTTATTAAAAATTATCTTTACATGTATTAAAAAATATGGAGTGAGTATACTTTTATTGTTTGATTTTTTTTAATTTTTAATTTTTTAATTAGTATATTTTAAGACATTGGTTAGATTGTTTTTGTTTAATAAGAAGTATAACTAATGCAACATTTTTATTTTATTATTAAACAGTCTTGTTATTAAGTACGTTAAGAGGATTAGCTAATGAACATTAAAAGTGTAATTACATGTTTATTTAATATTCTTTATATGATAGTTTACATCATAACTTTATAACATTTGTTAGAATAAATACAAAATATTTTGATAAGTTATATTAATAAATTTATTAAAATAAATTATTTTTATATGTTGTAAATAAAATATTTTTGTTATTTTTTAAATATAATTTAATGAATGTTTTAACTACTTAAAAGAGTAGCTTTTTCCTATTTTCTCTTCTTTTTTTTTAGTGTGTTGTTAATTCTCAATCTAACTTTATTGTAATTTAAATGTTTCTCGCATCTTAATTTAAATTATTTCCTTTCATGTGATTATTTCTTTTGGTGGCGCTTTTATAATTTGATAACCTAAGAATTAATTTTAGATTTATAATTTGTACGCAATAGTTTTTTTTTTCTATTTTTTGTCAACTTTTTTCTGATTATATTTTTGTCAAACAAATTGGGCCACCAAAGAATACAAGGCGATGTCAGTGCTTCAGTGTTTGCGATCCAAATTCACATTGGGCTTTCCCTTTGATCTACCAACGTGTTGACTAAAAAGTGTAATAATTTACTAACGCTGTAAAGAAAAGAAAATAAAATAAATGTATGTTTGAAATTATTTAATTTAAAATGAAAGTCACTTATTTGCATTGATCTGTATATTCTTTATAGGGTGAGTGTCTTTTATATTTTTCAGTGAAATTTTTATTTTCTTTGATCTACACTTTTGTATACTATTAGTTAGTATTTTTTTTGTCATATTTATTTATTTACTAGTATTTTGTAGAAAAATGCCCTTTAATTCAAGAAAATGTAACTTCAATTGCTAAACCTGTTAATTTGATGTTGCGTTTATTATTATAAGAAAGAAACTTTGAGGAGATTCAAGTGATAAATAGAGTTTCTTAATGCATAGGAGAAAGAAACAATATAATTAATTTTTGTTTTTTGATAACGAGATATCACCATACTATATATTAATATAAAATGGTGCAAATCTTAATCTGATAAGCACTACGATCTATCAACGTCACCCCAGTTGCTGCTAGCATCTAATCAGCCATCGCCACTATCATGATTCATGATTATCTTTCTGTTGAGCATCTATTCAAGATAAAAGATATTTAATTGCACACTAAACTATCAACGGTAATGCATAAACTTAATGAACTTTTTGTTCCATCATGTTGCATTTTATTATAACATCGATTGAGCTTAAACAAAACGTGGTTTTCTAGTGGCCCTTTGGTCTTAGCTAGTTTCTGCAGAGCCGTAAAAATTACAAATAATACATAAAAGAGAAAGAAATATTGACCATGAGATTGACAGCATATAGATTATCAGAAACGAATTACAGATTTATGAAGTGACTTATGCGAAGAGATAATGTTATTTAGTTAACACTTTCAAATTATAGGATAAGTTTAGGTTCACAATTTATCCACTTGAATGCGAATACTAACTTATTTTTAATATACTAAATTTGTGAATTTTAATTTTAAAAGTATAATTTCTCTGAATTTAAAAAGACAAATGTAAGAAAAAAGGTAAGTATTAGGAAAGGTGGAAAATTTGATGGCTAGAGAAATGTGTTTGAGACGTGATTATATATATATATATATATCTTTTATACATTTATCTTAAAAATATACTCTCAAAATTATAGAGATAAACTTTTATTATTAATTTTTTTAAGTATTTTCATGAAGTGAGTTTCATTTTCATTCATTTTTGGCACATTATGTTCGTAAAGTTATCACAAATTTGTGTAGGAAATTTTTTATAATAAATTTTAAATATGTAAATATGTGTGTGTATAAAAGATAAAACGCAGAATATATGTAAATATGTCATCTGAAAATGGTTATAATTATTATATTTGCTTCATACTATACTTCTTTTTTAAATGAGATACTATAACTCTTTGAAAATCAAGAAATTATACTGTACTTAGTTAACAAAAAACAGAAAACAACATGTTAAACTCTTTGAATAACTTGAGCTGAAGATGTTGTGTAAACCAAATAAGTGAAACGTAGTAAGCACCACTTAAAAAATGCAATTTTGGAGGGGAATTATGACCATTAATAGGAATAGCAAGAGGAAGATGATGAGAATAGAAGAGTTAAAAATAGTTATCTGTGGTGTTAAGTGTGTAAGCCATAATGAAAGGCACGTCCTCTTAGGATTCTAAGCCACACCCTCAGTGTGGAATATGGTCCACTTTCATGAACTTAGTGAGTTTTTTGGTGTTTGGTGTTGGAATGGGACCTACCTTAGATGTGTATTTCTTGTTTCCTTTTAATGTCATTTTGGTTCCTTATGCTTCTCTTCTTTGGTTCAGGTTCTTGAAATTTCACATCCATTTGGCTTTGTTAGATATAATATCATGCTCTTATTGGCTACAAGTTAAACATGTTTTGTTTTCTGTAACCTTTAATTTCGTGTTATCCTTTCTTTCTGTTGCCTTTTGTTCATTGGAAGAAAAATATATTTGATATTTAATTTCTTTTTTTTATGCCTCCCAAAAGTGATCTCAATATGTATTAGATATTTTTTCTCAACTAGCCTTCAGATTATGTTGCTATTGACCAAATCGTTAGCCGTGGCCCAAAGAGATTTCCTCAAATGGATGATAATCAACATTTAAAACTCTTTATATTCTTATTCATTGTAAAACTTTTGTTAATACTATTGATGTTTTTAAAGTAAAATGTAAATTTACAAAAATATATTATTAGTCTTAATTTATAATATTAATAAAATAGTCACATTCATCTATTTAAGTTGGAATAGTATATTGTTAAAACTCTTTTTAGTGAACACTTTTTTAATTACGGTTTTGTTAATAAATGTTTTTATTTTTTAAAATAAGTAATTAAAAATATTATAAGAAATTGTGCTAGGGTTAAATGAAAATTGTGATAGAAGTTTCTAAACAATGTTTTTATTTATTTTATAATTAATTTCTTAGTTAGTTTCTTTTTTATATTTTAAAGTTTTTAATAAATTTTAGTTAATAATTATGTTTTAAAATTTTATCAGCTATACCTTTGATTTGTCTTGTGATTTTGGGGCACTTAGGCAAATCCATAGGGTAACCGGTTCAGTGTTAGAGCGGTTGAACCGTTGAGTGGAATGGTTAAATAAGAAGTGGAAGAAAGAGAAGGTTATCGTAAATACGTAATAGTAACTAATGACAACGAACAATACTTGATTGAGAACATTGGGTGTTTGTGAATTGTGACCCACCCAAATTCTGAATTCTGAATTCCGATTCATTGGATGGCACTCTCGTGGCGACCCTTCACGCTCACCCGCATCACCGACCTGTCACTCTATCCTCTCCACCCTCCCAAGCCACCGCCACCGCCGTCGCTCTTTCTCCTCACCCGCCGCCGCAGCTTCCTCGTTTCCTGCCTCGTTGATGGATTCTCCGACGACGTCGTTTCGACCCGCAAGTCCTCCTTCGATCGCGGATTCACCGTCATCGCCAACATGCTGCGCCGCATCGAACCCCTCGATAACTCCGTTATCTCTAAGGGCGTTTCTCACTCCGCCAGAGACTCCATGAAGCAAACCATCTCCACCATGCTCGGTCTTCTCCCCTCCGATCACTTCTCCGTCACCGTCACCGTCTCCAAACACCCCCTCCATCGCCTTCTTTTCTCTTCCATCATCACCGGGTATGAAATTAATCTTTCCGAGGTTTAAATTTAATCATCCTGTTAGTCTTTTGGAGTTTTTGTGTTTTTGCCAAATTACTCTTTCAAAGGTTCAATTGCTGCTAAATTTGTCCCTCAAATGTTTGAAAATGTCATTACAGGGGTTATTTTGATCACAAATTAAACATTTGAACAGCTAATTTGATGATAAAATTTTCAGAGAATTAAAGTGGTGACAAAAAGGGTTTTCATGGAATAATCTGGTGAAGTATGTAGCTTTGGAGGGTTAATTTTTTATTTTTTTTCAGTTTCTGTGCCAAGCTTGGGTTTTTCTTTGGATTGAGTTTTTGGTTTTCTTTTTGTTAGGTACACGCTGTGGAATGCGGAGTACAGGATGTCTTTGATGAGGAATTTGGATATTTCAAGTTCAGAGGCCGAAGGGTTGGATTGTGAAACGACTTCTGAGGTTTTGGAGGTGAAGAGTGGAGGAGAGGGTGATGAGAAAATTGAGGTTGTTTCTAATTTGGAAAGTTGCAGCAGTAGCCCCCGAGTGTTTGGAGATTTGCCTCCTCAGGCTCTGAATTACATTCAACAGTTGCAGTCTGAGTTAACAAGTGTTAAGGAGGTAACCCCTTTTTTCTTAAAAAAAAAAAGATGGGTTTTCTGTTTAGTTTAATTTTTTCAATGTAATGACTGTGGAATACCTGAATTTAAGGTTGTCTTTCTGCAATGTTTGTTTGTGCTAGGATTTAGGAAGGTGCCTTAGTTGGTCTTGAGTTTGTGTAGTGGGGATTTAGGGGGAAAAATGACCTCACCTTAATGAGTGGCATGGGGGATTTATTCTTTGTGCTTGTGCCAATGGAGTTGGATTTCTAGTTAGTGTATAGGAACTTGGAACAAAGAGAAGACCTCACCTTAATGGGTGAATTGTTATTAGAGCCTGTAAAGCGTTTGCTTTTTATTGGCTTGCCAAGTAAGTATATTTGGCTTGGTATGGATTCGGCTGATAGTAATTTGGGTTTAGCTTCTGCTGGAATAGAACTTTGATTTTATCCCTGAAGGGTTTCTTTGGATGGAGGAGTTTCAAGGGAAAGGGAAGGAAGGAGGGATAATTTTTTATTCAGATTTTTTAACGTGTGTTCGACGACACACAATAAGAATCTGTATATAATAAGCTTTTATCATATATCAAAGGATATCACAAGATCCAATGCATTAATAATATTAAATGCTATAATTTTCAGTCAAAACTTACTATTTATGGATTTTTTTATTTTATATCCTTGAACACGTTAGAAAAAAGTTGATAGTTCTATATTGAGAAAATTATAAAATGATTTGTAAAATATAAACAGTGGATGATTGGAACTTGGAAGGTTATGTGATAATAATCTTTCATCGTAGTTGTCTCAATTTTCAAAATTTCTTCAAAGAAGAGGAATGTTTACTTAAAATAAAGGAAAAAAGTTACTCCATCCTTCGCCACTCCCTTCCTTCCAAACTCCTCCATCAAAACATGACCTTAGCTTAAAGTATAAATAATGACATTTGCTTCCACAACCTGGAATGTTGTTTAGGGAAACAACACAGTGGAAGTTTCTTTCCCCAAGAATGAAAAGGAATGCCGCTTTTGGCTTCTTAAGGCTTAATGCCACATTATTAAATGCGATGCAATGGCCTAATGGTAAGGGAGGCACCGATTTTATTTTTAAGTCCAAAAATTGACTTTATTTTTTCCCTCTGCAGTCCATACTCCAAAAGAAGTAGTTTTATTACTCATATGCTATTGTTTAAAAGGATAGCTTAAAGAGTTGAAAGTAATGTGCGGATGTTGCATTTTATTTCAGGAGCTGAATGCTCAGAAGCAGGAAATGCTGCAATTAGAATATGACAGGGGAAACCGGAACAATTTGTTGGAATATCTACGGTCTCTGGATCCTGCTATGGTAATGCCTCGCTGCTTCTGTTTAATTTATACTCGCTTGCAATTTGAAAGTGGTGCTTTTAAGTTAGATAGCAAAAGTCCTGCTCTCCCCTCTCTCTCTCTCTCTCTCTCTCTCTCATTACTTGTAGGTTTATTTTGCTTTGGGAATTATTTCGTTTATAACTTGTCTTTACAGGTAACTGAGCTGTCTCGGCCTTCGTCAGTGGAAGTGGAGGATATTATTCACCAACTTGTTCAGAACATATTGAGAAGATTCTTTGTGGATGATGCTAGCTCTAGTTTTATGGAACAATCAGTAGAAGGAAACATAGACAATCAGTTAGACAGTGGTGATGAGTTTAGTGATAAAGTAGCCACTTCTCGTGATTATCTGGCAAAGTTGCTTTTCTGGTTAGTACATATCATTCTCATTACCCTCCAAAATTTTTTGCTTAAATCTTGAGTCCATATCCTCGATTATAAACATGACCCTGAAATTTGTCCATACATTTCTTAAGCACATAAATACATACTTCCCTCGTTCTCCCTAATCTATTGAATCCTTGTTTCTTTAGCCTGTGAAGTCCTTATTTGTGCCTAATCACATTGAGGTTTTTTTTCCATTTGCAGGTGTATGTTATTAGGTCATCACTTAAGAGGGTTGGAAAATAGATTGCATCTGAGCTGTGTTGTTGGACTGTTGTAGAGAAGAAGGTGATAGACATGTATATTCTTCTCGTCCTCTTTTTCTTTTTCTCCCTCCCCCTTTCCATAAATTTTTTTCTATTACAGTAGTACTATTTAATGAAAAACTGAAAATGTGGAATAATCACCTCACTCCTTTCTTTTAGCATTCCTTCCCTTGATTCATCATACCAAGCATTAAAGCATACGACATTGTAAAACCTGGTGCCGTGTCGTGTCTATGCTTGTGCGAATAACGTGGTTAAGGGAAGGCTAACAGAATGCCTTACATTTGAAACAAGATGGATCTAAATAGAGCACCATTCTCATTTTACTCAGAATGATGCGCAAGGAATTTTGAATCAATTTAAGACCTGTGCACGTGTGTGTCTGATTGTCTGTCTATATAGAGGGTGTATCAGTTGAGAGGAATTGATGTCAATCATTTTACTTAGATGCTTAAGGTTAAGTTGAACTAAATCATTCATGTAAGAATGAGTAGTCAAGTGTAGCTCCTCATCGTTCAGGACATACTCCCTCCCCCTTTGTTGCTTTTGTGTTGATGAGGGCTTATGTGACTAACCGGGGTTACCATGGTAACAAATTTGTTAAGAGACTTGGGAGTTATCGGTGATGCAATGCTACAGTGGCTACTGAATCATCACTGCTGCATCTAATAGCACCTTTGATAAAGCTTAATTTTGGTGACGTTCATTTATTTTACATAATCTCTCTTACTAAGTTGAAAAAAAAAAAAGTAATATTTCTTCAACATAAGTTAAACCAAACAAGTACTCGAATAAAGATTTTCCTTGTGCAAGAAAATGGGGGTGAAGTATTTACTTCTGTTGTAGCTGAGCTAGATATGCTGGCAGATGAAACGGATGATAGACGTATGCATTCCCTTGTGACATGGACTGCGATCATGCGTCAATGTTGGGCTGAATCCAACTCCAGATGCAACTTCAAACTCTCGCGAAGCAAAGCTTTTGTACATTATTATTATTCTCCCCTTAAGCCTAAGAGAAAAAATAAATAAAAACTACCATGCACAAGTTGTTGAAGTGGAATGATGTAATTACTGCATCTTTGTTATAAATTCTCCACTCGAAAACTTCAACGTCATAAATAAGAAAGGAAGGGGGTGTTTGGAAGCATTTTGTACAAATTTTATTATAAGAGCGATCTGTGACATTTTTGGTAAGTTTTTCTGTTTAATTTGTTTCAGCTAGATTTACGACTGAACTTGTGATATAAATTCTCATGTAAGTAAGTGTTATATTAAGCCATTTAAACACGCCTGGCCTTTTTTTATTTGTTTCTATGAAATTTAAGCGGAAAGAAGTGTGATGGAGAGAAGAGGAGATAAGATTAGAGACGTCTCTAAGACTTTAAAGTAACAAAATGAACCAAACACCATTATAAATTGAACCAAACCATACGATTATTAACACAAGACGTGGGTGATGTATCTGGAAACAAAAAGTAGGGATGAAGTGTAAGTTGAGGTAGGTTCTACTATTTTATTTGTCTCCATTAGACAAAGAAATTAATAGAAATGTTCCAAACAATTTTTCTAACGGGAGTTTAAGAATATATAATAAGAATTTATATATAATAATTTTTTATAAAAAATTACAAGATATCTCAAGATTTAATATGTTGATCACATTAAACTCCAAAAGGTATTTATACAAAAGATTAAAAAAAAGAATACGTTACATCGACAACAGAAAACATGCACAAGTTTCATTTTTATAGATTTTCTTGGCATTATCAATAATCTAGAGGGCCAAACTGTATTCCAATATATCATGTTATTTCAACATATAATTGACTAAATTTATTTTGTATGTAAAAGTTTGGCTTGATTATTATTTTTGGTCTTTCTTTGTGATTTTGGTCTATATTTTTTTAGCAAACCGAATTCTTTTAGTTTTAAAATCAATCAAATTTGGTCCCTCCCATCAATTTTGTCTACTTCAAATCCTCATATTATCATTTTCTATTGGAGTGTTTGACGGTTTATGATGCATTTGCGATATGAAATTATTTTGAAGGTTTATAATCAAGAAACTAAGAAAAAAATTTGATAACATTTGAAAAATTTTATAAGATATGATATTATGGTTTGAGGATTTTCTTTTTATTTTGGATTTGATTTGATATTTTGATTAGTATTTTTTTAGTGGAAGACAAGTTAATTTATTCAATTTGTAAAAATTCTAAATAAAAAAATTGTATTTTTTTCTAATTTTGTTTAATTTTAATATTAAAGAAATTTAATTGGATACGAAAGCTTAAAAGACCAAAACTATACATAATCCAAACGAGAGGGATGACAAATACAATTAAACTAAAAAATTATGAGTTTTTGAAAAAAATTATTTCATAGAATACAAGATATCAATTATCAATAAGAGAGGTTTTGGTAAATGAAATTGAAATTATAGTTTAAAATTGTAATTTTAATTCTAATTTTGTCAAAATTAAACTTGATTTGAAATCATAATTTATTTTTGAGTTGTGCATATAATAGGAGCATGTAGTAATGATTTTAAGTTGAATTTCAATTTTATTTTAATACCTTTAATCAAGGTTTATCATGGATAAAATTAGTTTAAGTTTGAATAATAATATAAAAAATAATCTATAATGATGATTGAAAAAGTGGGACAAGGATTGGTAGAGGTGGCATAATAATGATAATGATGAAGAGATGATATTAGCACTAGCAACGCCGCTAATAATAATAGTAGGAAATGAAATGAAAATGAATAGTTGTGGAAGAGATGAGAATAGTGCAGTTGACTATTCTTTTCTTTGTAACAACATGTCGGTTTTGTTAACTATTACATTAAATTATATTTAAAATTTTATAAATACATTTTTTTGGTAAAAAAATAGATTTAAATTTTTTTTAACTATTACTCTTAGGATATTGGTTTGCCAACTTTATTGGTGCACAGAGAACTTAGGTATTATCCAAATACAGCATATGATGTATATTTTCTTTAGCCAATGTCTAATTTAGCTTTTGTTTTGCAGAGCCACATTTGGGTCAGACATTGTTATATTGTACTTGATTGTAGGATCATAATATTGTATGATCATAATTGATCTTCAACACGTTTCTCTTCATTTTCATCTTTTCTTTGTGAGAAAGGGCTGTTACCCACACTACACTCTTGTATTTCCTTTATAGTAGTAATGAATTAGACCCACATCCTCTTATAAATAATTTATCCAATTGTGCATCAACATGATCCACATGATATTGTGTTACTGTACCACCGAAAATGTATCAACAAACAGTACAAAATTTTCTGCTTGTTCTGTCTGTGCATATTAACAAAATTTTCAATACAAATGAATCAGAATTTACCAATATAAAATTTTTATGTCCTAAAATGATGAATGTGTTGTACCAATAGCAATTCTCTTATGGTGGTAGTGATGATGTGTATGGTGATGTTGTATGTAGAGATCATAAGGTGCCCACAGAAAGTCAACTGAGCAAGGCTTCTTGGCATCAAACCTTGTCCATGGTTTCCCTTTACCACTCCAATGTAGCAAACTAACTGGACCAGGATGCAAAGTCCTGCAACTATTTCTAAGATTTTCCCCTCCAAGACCGTGTTGGTTCCATCTATGTTCAATAGCCTCAACATCTCCACCAAAAACCAACAAGAAAGGAGGGAGTGAACCCAACTTATAAATCCTTCTCTCCTTCTGAATTTCCATCCATTTCTCTATCCTCCTTGTGTACTCACCCTCTCTCCACCTTACCAAATCCATTATCATCACCCCTGTGTTGAAATAACAAGGCCTTTTCCCTTCAAAAACCTCAGAAAACTCAGAACTTGACCAAAATTCATAGGAAAAATATCTAGTGAAGTTTGCATGACAATACTCTGGAGCACCAATGACTCTTGACCCAGTCAGTGAAACCTTCCACAGCTCTTGAATGTCATCAACAACTATAACATCAGAATCTAAATATATAACTCTTTCAATGCAGTGCTCAAGCAAATCAGCCAAGTAACTTCTTGCATAGTTCAAAGGGTTGTCAAGTGCTTCCCTTATTGAAGGTGATATGAGATTATCGACTAAACTTTCCTTGAACATATATACTTTGAATCTCAAGGAAGGAAAAGAGGATGTAACAATCCTATCAAACTCTTCCTTGTTCTCCATTCTTGCATCTGATGCAATGAAATGAAAGAATAGATTTTGAGGGCATGAAGTGTGTTTAAGAACAGAATGAACTGCAGCTATAGATCCTCTTAGGTAGTACCAATCAATGGTCATGGCAATGTGAACAAGTGATGGGTCACATACCATTTGCACATTGTTTCTATCAACTAGAGTGCAGCTTTGTTGGTTTCTGTATTCTGGGGCCTCTTTAAATTGCATAAAGGAATCAACTTTAACCTCAGTTTCATAACCATTGTTGGCAAAAGATCTAATAGCATTGGCTTGAAAGAGAAGCACACAAGCTGAGAACACAACCACAAAAATAATTGATCTAGAAAGAAGCATCAGAACCTTTATATTTGGACCAAAACAGGTGAATTGAAAGAACAAAAAGAATCAAGAAAAGTGAAGATGAGAGATATTTGGATTCAACAATGTAAGAGAAAAGTCTAACTGTATATATACACATAAATGAAACACTAGAATGGAAACGCGTTTGTTATGATGTCATGTGACCACGTTAGAAATTTCAGCGGCTATGGTTGATAATTAGGCAATTAGGAACCTTCTTATGTGTTTCTATGAATGTGCCTTTGAATTATTCTTTGATGAAAAAGGTGAAGAAAAATATTCATTTAACCTTGGATGCTTAAATGATTCCACTTTCGGTTCAGTTAATAGTACATTGAAGACACATATACCATTGTGACCACGTGCTTTTAATTCACACGCATATGTTTATTGAATTCAACATATACTTAAATAGTCCTCGGTTGGCTACACGCACCGAACATGTCTAAGTTCAATGTTATTTTAATCATTTAAAAAATAAAATAATATATATATATATATATATATTATTTTAATAATTTAAGCAACCCTCACCATTCTTCTTTTTCCCTCGCCTATTTTCTTCTGTCTCATACATGTAAGTTTGGTTATTTTTGTACTTTTAAATTTATACCCTCTCCAGCAAAAAAAAAAAAAAACTATTGTGAATACAAGACACAGTAACTATAAAATATTATAATATTTTATAACTATTGGATAGCATGTGCCATGTTCTTTTAAGGGGAAGTGATAATTCTTTGCTAACTGGTTGAATTGTCTATAAATGATATTTGAAAATAAAATCATAGCAATTAAGTAAATTCTAATATACACAATGTTTGAGTATTTAACATGTCTGTAATATTTGTTGTGCGTATACCAAAAAAAAAGTTTAAAATAAATAAATTACAAATATATATCATCAATTTTTAGTGATTTAAATATCAAACTCACTAATTTATGCATTTTTTTTACAGTGAGAGTCAGAGATATACTATCCTGAAATTATAGTTTGGAGGGTCATCTTAAAGAAAATTAAAGTATTGCCTTTGTACAGCTATACTTGTGTGTGTGTTTTGTTTTTTAAAATTGACTTCTTAATTCATAACACTTTGCATGCCTTCAACTTTAAGTATCATATCACCCTCCCCTTGTCTCTCTCCATGCATGCCTTTGTCCAATACAACCGTGTTTTCTCTTGTACTTCCAGAATCCAATAGAAATTTTGTTAATATAAAAATAATAAAAGTTCTCTAGTAAATTAAAAATAATTTATACTTATTTATTTATTTTTTTCTAACAAAATTTTTTGTCTAAAAGTTTAGTACTAAAGTATTACAGTCAACGATTTACAAACCTTATTGTATGTCCCCGAGTATCTTATGTAGATTTCGGTGTGCTGCATGCATGTATTTATGTCTTATGTTAAAAAAATGTTCGATTCACACTTAAACTATGAACCACAGTAGAAGGGTGAAAATACAGTTTCTTTCTCAAACAAATGTGTTTGACAAATGGAATTTCTGTCTCAAACTATGGTTGTAGAAGTTAGAAAAAGAAAAGGATAGTTTATAATATATGTTAGGTCTCAAACCATATAATTTGTAAGTTACTATTCCAACACACGTTAAGTGTTTTACTTTTAAATTTTTGGTATATAAAATCTGCAATTTAATATAGAGATAGATTAGACTAATTTTTGTTCGACCTGAAATGAAGTGATTATTATAAAATTTGGTATCACTGAAATTATGACTATCACGCGTAAAATACGTATAATGTTATAAGGATGAGAGTTGATGCAATTAAGATTGAATGTGTTTAATTTAATTATTATGTAGCAGTGTTCTCTAATTCTAAGAATGGTATTTAGAACTATTCAGAAAGCATATTATATGTTTAAGGGAGGATTAATTTTCAATTTAAATTAACATTTTTCTACTTGAATATTTTTCAGAAAAAAAAAGAACAAAATAAAATATTATCGTGAAACTTTCTAACATCCATTATTCATTTTTAAAAACATTTTCTATCCATGAGGAGTCAAAAGTGAACAAATATTAAGATTACAAAAGAAAATATAAAATTACAATTTTTAACATTAAAAACCATCTTTTTCTTTTTTATCTTTCAAAAATAACATTTCAAAAGATATTATTCATTTTTAGAAATTAATTTTTAAAAGGGTGACACTAATTATGGTATGCTCTTTATGTAAACCGTTAAGCATAATAAAATGTGATTTTAAAACCCATTACGTAAACATGGTTAGGTGCTAAGGAATTGATGAAATATAGACAAGACTAACAACCAACGCGTTCTAAGATTAAACAAAATAATTGTCCCCACAGTATAGATTTCTCTATCAACATTGTTTGGCCACAAAGAGGTTGTTGCTATTTGCTAATGTTATTTTAATATAGAACATCAAGTGTTCACCCAAAAAAATTGGCAATTAAAATAGCCACGAGTTCTATGGTCGTTAGGAATTAATATGCCAATATGTATCTACTAAATTAATGTATTTATCAGAGTTCCATTACTTCATTGATAAGAATTAGATTGTATATAAGTTTGGTTTCTATGAACACAAAAATACATGTGCGTGCTTTTCCAGTCACGCAATGCTTACAAGAAGCTTTTAACTTGGTATGTTACTTGAAACAAGAACTGAAAGAGAATTTTTAAAGATTTCTCAATTGCATGTTAATCAGAGTTAATTCGATTTCTGAATTAACACGTTAGATTTTAAGCAACAACTAAACCAAAAGTAAAATCAAATATTGACGACTGACATGAAATAAGGATAGGAGCAAGTAAATGGTTTTTCTAATGCGACAAGTAATAAAAAAAAATTTAATGTAACATTTAATGTTATCAATACTAATTTATGCAATATTTTATAATATATATATATTATTTTTTTCTATATGTCTTTAAACTAAAAAAAATGAGAATCATGTGTTAAAAATTAAATTTAAAAATAATATTATATCACAAGTTCTAATGATAAAAAAATTAATAAAAATATTAGTCTGATAATACAAACTAGATAGTTAAAATGAAAAATAATATTAAAAGTTATTTATGATTATAAAATACCTATCAAATTACAAAAAAAGTTTTACCGTACATTAAAACAAAAATAAGAATGTTAAGATAGATAAATAAATATGAAAAAAGACAAGATTCAAGATGAAAGTATATAAGAGAATATTATAATAGTAAAAAAAATAATTAAAAATTGTTTAAGGTGATTTAATTATGTGTTAAAAATATCTTTAAAAGCATCAATAAGGAGAATGAATTGTATGACTTAATCCAATATAAAAAGTTTGAAAAGACCCAAAAGAATTTTAAATAAAATTATTAAAATAAATATTTTAATTAACCAAATTTTTAAAAATTTAATTTTTAACTAAACTAAATGGCATTATGTAATCTATTTAGCCGACCTCACCTTGCAAAATAAGACTTTGTTGTTATTGTTGTTGTATGTCTTTAAAGATGTTAATTAAATAAAATTATTATATTATTCAAAAACTTAACTGAGAGATGGAATAAAATTCCAATGGTCATTTTTATAATTTTGTAAGGAGATATCATTAAATTAAATTAAAAGTAAAACTCAGATAATTTTTTTATAATTTTTATTAATGATAAAGAGTGTATTTGAAGAATAAATTGCTAGAATTTATAGTGCTAATCTATGGAGATTCATGCAGATAACGCATGTCAAACCATATCTACGGAGTACAAACTTCAGCATCCATGTTAACTAGGGGGTCGTTTCTGCATATCAACAGAAAAATGAAAATTCCAATAAAAATGATACGACATTATAAAAATACAATTAGTATAATAATAAATCCCAGTTACTGATGGAACATAAATCCTAGTAGGAGGAGCTATGCTTAAAATGTAAGCAACTAAGCATTACTGCAAAGTCATTAGTAGCATTGGTTATTTTAGATTTTAGACAATAAAAGACCAACACTCATCCAATTCTCATTATATCAAACCTGCATTGGCAAAAATAGAAACAAAAAGATTGCAAAATGCAAACTAGACTAGTCAAATGTGATGAGCTGATGAGAATCAAACATTGGTACAGCAACCATTTTAAAGTGTCCCCTGATTCCATAGGCCCAGAATCAGCCACAGATAATAACACATTCAGAATCAATAAATCATATAGATGCAGCTGGGCACCATTTTACCTAATACATATTCATAATTTTCTTTAAATGAAGGAATGAGGTCTAGAATAGACCATACTGTACTAATAAGTAATAACAGCATTCTGTACAACACTGTCATTCAAAGTTTCAGTCTTCAAAGTTAAATTGTTTTATTTTTCCACAATAACAGCATTCAGTTTCCTGCATTAACATATGACAAAAAACCATGGTAATGCAAATCAAGCTTAACAGACTTCTAATTTGTTTATCTGCTTGGTTTAAACCTCTACCTATTCACAATACTAAACAGAATTTGATCTTTTTAATTCAGAGAGATTGAAAAAAGAAAAAGGGGAAGGGAACTATAAATAAAGTGACACAAGAAAGAAATCATTTACATGATGTTTCTGGAAACACAATCTGTCTTCTTAGACCTAGCATCCTGTACTCATACTGCAAGATTGCGTGATGTGGAAAGCTTTGGCTCCTATGTTGAATCCAACATTCCCATCTACATGATCATATAGTTTTCTGCAGCCAGGACATCGCGCATCTGCCTCTAGGATCTTTTTGTGACAAAAAAGGCAGAGACGAAATCCACATGAACAAGGAAGAAAGCTCGAGTCTGTCACGTCCAAATCCTCATAACAGATGGGACATTGAGCAGGTTGGGAAATTATTGTTTGCCATGCCCAAGGTACTGTTTTGTGGTTATTGTGCCAGTTTGAATTTAATGAAAAACTATGTTGCTTTGCGAGGTTGGGCAAACACTGAGGACGAAAAGCATCATCAGGTTTCCAAGCACGACAGTTTAGATTTGATTCAGAAACTGCTGATTTGAACTCCGTTCTTGAGAAATCCACTCTAAGATTCTTGGCAGCCTCTGGAACTGGAGGAGACTCTGAAATCATGGAGCGCTGAGTATCATTTGCATATAAAGCATCAGCAACAGCCTCCCAGTCATCAAGGCATCCATCATCTACTTCTTCCTCGATGACATTAACTGAGTAACAAGTACTCGCGCTGCTGCTACTGCCGCTACTTCTCCTAGAGAGACCAATCCCCGATTCATCATGATCAAAAGTATTTTGAACAGGGATGTTTATGAAGGATCCTGACTCATTACCCTGGATGCAAGAGCCTTCAATATCCTCCCCTCTTCTCCCCCCGTTTTCCTTGTATGATGATGATGATGATCTATTCTCCTCATTGCCAATTTGCTTAGACAATGGACAATGATCAGCCCTTTCATTTGAGTCAACATTACATCCTTTTTTGACTGAAACAAATCAACGTAATCGACAATGAACAAAATAAATAATAAAAAAATAGTGACTTTCCAAGGATTTTGAAACAATTCATAAATAATGTTTATACCATGTTTGAATTTAAAATACAATATTGTGAACATTTCTTGCATTCCTTTGATACATAAAATTTGGTCTTATGTTACCAGTTAAATAGACTATATAGCCTTATTACACTTTAGATTTTGTTTATTGTTAGCAAAGCATACAACATTGGAATCAGTGATAAAGCATGGTCATATGATGCTTCCAACAACGTCAGATGAGAATGAGAAGCCCTGACCATGTCATAACAAATCATGCCAAGCTTTCAATATCCTCTTACTAGAATATTACAATTCAAAATTTGATACAAAGATTATTCCATACATGTTGAACTATACTAAAGCCATAATAAGTTTGCAAGTAGATAGTGCAAGGTAGTAATATCATAAAACCATTTTTAGGATGGTAGGTTCGTGAAAATATTAGAAATGGACTAGACATCTGTGAGTGTTCTACATTCAAACTGAATAAACTGTGACACGATATTATAATGGACCGAATTTGCCACCAAAAACTAGCTCAAGAGGGGAGGGTTCCCTAAGTCTTATAAAAAGTAGTTTAGCCATATTAATATGAATGTGGGACATCTTAACAAAAGCAAATAAATATAATAGTTCCAAAGATAATGAAATGAAAGGAGCAACAACAAAGGAATAGACAAAGGATCTAATTTGCAGATAATTAACAAATAAAAGGAAACTCCAAATTGAATCATTCTATACATAAATTATTAAGACATTCAGCATTCATGGTTGGGTCAGAGAAAAAGGGAAAATAAATAAATAAATAAATAAAAAATATTCGTGAATTCAATGTCATTGATGGATTAAAAACATGACCGAAAAACATCATTTGTATTTGAACAAATTCATGGTGAAATGTGAAAATGAAGATCAAGAAGCTACCTCGAGAAAGCCATTGTTCACGCCGAACGTCAAGCTTGATTTGCTTCAGTTTCGCCGACCCATTTGTCTGAACAATCACATTGCCATAAGCCAATGAAAATGGAAAATCAAAAATCACAAAACCATGCAAAGAAAAAAAGGAAGAAAATTTCCAAAACAGAAAAATAAAGAAAGAAAATCGCTACCCTTTGATACTCTTTGTTTGAATGAAGGGAAAATTATAAAACACCAAACCATTGGAAAACAAAAATAGAAAGAAAGAAATTGTTACCCTTTGATACCCAACAAAAGAAAATGCAATGCAATGAGTCATGAGTTGAAAAAAATCATATCTTTAACACAACAGGTTCAAAATTATGAGAAGACAATTGTTTGGAAAAGAGAATGATTTTAGAAGCAAAAGAGAATATAGAGAAAAATGGGTGAGGGGTAGAAAGGTTACCCTCTTCTTCTTGTTGCAGAGAGGAGAATCAGAAATGGAAGCAGAGGCCATTAAAATGAGAGAGAATGTGATAAAAGGAAGCAGAGAGGGAGAGAGAGAGAGAGAGAGTAGGATAGGGAGGGAGTGGATGTTCCAATGTGTTCATCAACGTGGCTTTGTAATTACCATAACGCTCTTTATATCGTTTACAATTTTTATTAACATAAATTTGATTTTTCTTTTTCCCTTCATATGTGTGTAGGGAGAAGTAGAAGTATAAATGCATTGTTCCACCTCGGCTTATTTAATATTCGTTAAACTTTCTTCATAACTTAAATAAATAGTATATCAAATTTAAAGTTATGTTTTATTTTTAAATAATTTATGTTTAGGTTTTATAAGTTTAATATTAATAACTTATAAGAAACTTAATTATATATATATATATATATATATATATAGACATCATAATTTTATTTATTATATTTACTTAAAATTATAAATTTGATTGCTATTATCTTTTATATATGTTATTATATTTTAATTTTAAAAATTTATATTTTAAATAAATCATAAACAAACTAATGAATTAAAATCAAAATTTTAATTTAATTTATTTAAATAAATAAACTAAATTTAAACAGTCTATTTTTAACATATTTGAATTTCAAGTAAGTAGCTCACCTCGACTTATTTAAATTTTTTTTTAAAATTATTATTTGCTATGAGTTACAATTTAAACTAGGTAAATTCTATAATGCTTAAAAAAAATGAAAGTATATTATATGTTCTTGTATATGTAGAATAATCATAACTATTAATTTTAGTAATAAAGTTAATAGTATATTAACATAAATATCCTTTAATATCTTAATATAATTTTTAGAGAGTATTAATAGTCTTTTAAATTTAAGAGTACCATATCAAATATTTTTAAACTATTTTAATTTAGACTAAACATTTAATGTATTTTTAACATTCATTTCATTTCTTAATTTAAAAAGTAATATCAAAAGTGCATCACCTATGTTGAGAAACTAATGATTTTAATATTGTTTATAGAGATTGAAGAGATATATAGATTTTTTAACTAAAAAAAAACTACCTAAATTTTTGGTAGATTAAAAATGAATATTAATTTTTTATTATTTTAAACTTTTTATCCCTGACATATAAATGTCTACTGTTTAATTATAGTTCACATAATTATTTTGTAACGTAATATATACAATGTTATTGTTGTAACTAAAAATGAGATTTATTTAACGTATTTTAAAAATAAAAGTGAAAATTTTCAACTGATTAACTTATATAAAAAAAATTGTGAGTAAGTAATTAATGTATTTTAGATACCATAATAGGTTCTAATTATTAAATTATCAACAAATAAGTTAAAAACAATTGTTGACAACTCAATATTATGTGTTTATAAACTTTGTTGGTAACTTTTTTTTTATCAAAACTTGTGGAGGACGTATTGAAGACATTTAGGCATTAGTCTCTTGAATTACACAATAATCTTTAAAATAATTATTTTATTATTATAAAAAGTTTAGAAGGAGGAGTGGTTATCAGAAAAAGACATGTCACTAAAATGAAGAAAAAATAAAATCTATTTCTTAATATGACAAGTGATAAATAAATACTATAATAAGATTAGGAATTAGAATTGCCCAACAGTTGAGGTTAATGAGTTCATGACTGAGTGCTTTTTTGATTGATGAGATAAAAATAAAAAATACAGAAAGAACTTCTCTTGTTACCCTTTTAAATGTTCTGTACATTGTCTCAATGGGACAACAGTTACTCCAAAATAGTTAGAAGCAGGAGTCTCTCTGGTTAATAACAAGATGAGTCGAGCTTACCCACTCTGTCTCAACTCAATAACAATAACTATATAACTATATACACTAATAACTTTAAAGTTATTACAAATAAGCTTAATAACAATGATTATTTATAATATGAGCTAAACGACATAACTCAATATTTTGACATCAAATTAATTTGAAATTAAATTAAAGTTATAACAAAAATTGATTTATGTCAGTCCACACATAAAATATCCAACAGTTTCTCACTTGGATAACATAAATTAAAACCATCATATTATTTCAGATTAATCAAAAATATGTGGTCACAACAAGATGTCAAAATAAGTCAACAGAAACTATAACTATCTTAATAATACAAAAAATCATATTAGAAAAAGTAGTGATATTACACACTATAAGATACCTATATCTGGTGACTCAACAACAACGTGGAATATGGATAAATGGAAAAGCACAACAAAAACAGCATGCCAAGCTATAAACGATGTGCAATTTTTCTAACAAAATGGCCTAAGCATCCGCCCAAGGTGCTTTATAAGATTCAATAAATCTTATTATAACAATAAAATTGAGACTGAGTCCAAAATGTCTCCACAATTTGCCATCACAGAATTATTTTGTAATATAATATATACAATGTTATTGTTGTAACTAAAAATGGGATTTATTTAATGTATTTTAAAAATAAAGGTGAAAATTTTCAACTGATTAACTTATATAAAAAAATTGTGAGTAAGCAATTAATGTATTTTAGATACCATAGTAGGTTTTAATTATTAAATTATCAACAAATAAGCTAAAAACAATTGTTTACAACTCAATATCATGTGTTTATAAACTTTGTTGGCAACCTTTTTTTTATCAAAACTTGTGGAGGACATATTGATGATATTTAGGCATTAGTCTCTTGAATTACACAATAATCTTTAAAATAATTATTTTATTTTTATATAAAGTTTAGAAGGAGAAATGGTTGACAAAAAAAGACATGTCACTAAAATGAAGAAAAAATAAAATCTAATTTTTAATATGACAAGTGATAAATAAACACTATAATAATTATTGAGTGCTTCCTTGATTGACGAGATAAAAATAAAAAATATAGAAAGAACTCCTCTTATCATCCTTTTAAATGCTATGTACACTATCTCAATGGGACAATAATTACTCTGAAGTAGTTAGGAGCAAAAGTCTCTCTAATTAATAACAAGATAGATCGAGCTTACCCACTATGTCTCAACCTAATAACAATAACCATAAAACTATATTCACCGATAACTTTAAAGTTATTACAAATAAATCCAATAATAATGATTATTTATAATATGACTAAACGACATAACTCAATATTTTGGCATCAAATTAATCTAAAATTAAATTAAAGTTATAACAAAAATATAAATTTTATTTCAAAAATATTCATAATATTAAATGATGTATTTAATAATACTAATAAAAAAAATATAAAAAAATTTAAAAATTAATGTATTTTTAATCTATCGTTTGTTTCTTATAATAAAGACTGAAAAAATAATCTATTTTATTTTTTATAATAAAAAATTAGAAGAATATTATAATGCATTTTGATATACTAAAATAGTAAAAATATATTATAATCAACTCCTGTGTAAAAATATTTTAAAAATTGAAAAAAAGTTATCAACTTCTGTCCAAAGTTTTAAAAATTGAATAAAAGTCATCCAAACGACTTTTCCTATTATGTACAATATGACCATATAAATAAAATTTTTCAACTCAAGATATATGCATAATATCCAAAAAAAAAATTTTAACGTAAAAAAGTCCAATTTTTAGTACACAGAATTGAAAATGAAAAAGTTCATTGTCTATGTTAATGACCCTGCCCCACTTTTAGGCACTTGAATAAAAACATTCTCTCAAATAACTAAATTACGTTAAAACATGATTCCCTAAAAATGCACTAAGTTGTAGAATGTGTAGGGACATTATGGTGTAGCCTTGTCATGCCACATTGCTACGTTTCACAATTTTATGCTTCAAAAACTCAAATGGACTTATAAAAAAAAATAAAGGACAAATACATTTCGAGTCCAACAACACGAACTAATTGAGAAGAAAGACTTGAAAAGGGCAATATCAAATATGAACTATGACCATGCAAGCTTGGAAGGGAGAAAGAAACTGTTGCAACTAATGAAGAACAAGATTAATTTGGTAAACAATATTTCTACAATTATATAATGAAGCAAGCTATTTACAAAGGAGTGCAGCGACGCATTGGACCTCATAAACATATTACACACTCCCATCTATATTTCCCTTCTCCACTTTCATGTGAAAATTCAAGTACTATGACAACAAATAAAATTGTAAACCCAAGGGTTCCTAGGTTGCTTTACCAAGACTCTTATAAACATTAAAGTATGTATGTGAGTCTCTTCAGCTGTTTTAATAGATGTTAGAGAAAAAGTCTTCATCGCGAGGATACAAATTATGGGCATGCCAACAATCTGCGGAATCTTTCCTCTCTATCCCTACGGTACTGCAAAGATGTGGTTGCTGATGATGTTCGTCTTTTCTTTCTTGGACGGAAGAAAAAATCTTGGGTGTCAAGAACATAAGAAATCTGCAGATGAAAGTCACAAATAAGAAAAACAAAAAACATTGTTCTAAGCATTGGTTTTAAAGAAAGGGTCTTGCTAATAATGATTCTAAGGACACTAGTTAAGGAATCGATAAATAAAAAGCTAAGAGTGCACTGGTAACATTTTCCCAAGATATAATTTTGTGATGGTGGTAGACGGTTTTAAAATTGCAGTCTGCAATGGTAATAGCAGCTGTAATATTGCAGTTTTGATCTTTACAACCGCAAAAGCAGCTACAATGGTGGCCATATTTTCTGCAATAGTTTGCAAATTTTGTAACTACAGCAAAACCGCATCAGAGCCCCAACTGCAATTTAAAACCTTAGTGGAAGAAAGGGGTAGTGGAAGAAAGGGGGGGACATATCTGGATAACTTTAGAGAGAGAGAGGTTGAACAACAGAAGGAAAGATTATATCTATAATATTAAAAATAAAGTCGTAAACTGCACAAATGGAAAGGCAGCATACCTTGGATGAATTGCAAGCTATCTTACATTCCAATCCATTAATTACTTTAACACCTTCCATGGCAGAGCATACTGCAGAAAGCTCATCTAATTGTCCATATTTCCGTTTGTTTCTGTATGCATCAAAACAGAAGCAGAAACTTACATGTTACCTGGTTGAAAATGATTGTCAATATATCCACATAGCTAAAGTATGCAACAAAATCCACAACCAAAATGTTTAAGCCCCAATTAGCAAATAAAG